TAAGAGATGTCATTTTATTGGGACACGGTAACAGACGTCACAATGGTTGGCAAAGCATTGTGATGCAATTTCATTTATGTCTCCCATGCTTACTCCTGTGGAAGCCAGTTTGGGATGATAAATGTATGTTGTATAACATTAATATTGATTCATGTATACTTCACAGGGCAGAGAATATGACCTGATTCATGGTTTGATGTGTTTTATGTATATCTTGTATGCTATGTATTTGGTGTGATTGTATGACCCTGATGTATATATACCTGTATTGGATGAGTGCTATGAGACAGAGGAGTGCAGTATGATTGTCACAGTGTGAGAAGGCCTAACACTGCCAAGTCCACCAGGTGGAAGAAGCATTGTCCCAAACTGAAGCCAGATCCAAGTTCTGTTTTGGAACTAAGCAGTTGATGTTCAAGGAGAGGCTGTTTTGTTTGTAAATATTTTGTTCCAGAAAATACTTTAAAAGTAATTTTGCCTCATGTTTGAAGACTAGTTGGCTAAGTGATTGACCATATTGGTAACAGGACTCTTGAGATTTGTAAATGTAAATTAACGATATAGAAGGTCTCTTTTTCTCTAGCATTAAGTTTGTTTGCTAGGATATAAGCTGTATCAGGTACATCAGTAACATCTGGATCTGGCTTTCATAAACATTGTGTGAATACCAAACATACATGTGTAACCACAGCAACAATATATTTAGTTTCATAGATTTTGATATGTGGATTATTCCCATGTTGCAACACCTTTAGTATTTAATGTGATACGTGAACAGGCAATGTGAAGGATTTTTACACTGTTAACATATCAGTGACCTTAACAAGGTGTAGATTGTTGCTCATACAGTCAGCCACTGGTTTGCTTCGCCAGATCTCTATTCTGGTATACTGCTGACTGTGGCATAATCGTCACGATATGGCTGAAATACTGCTGATGTGACGTTAAATATTAACTCACTCACTGTGGCATAAAACAAGATTAACTCACTCCCCATATTAGCTTTGTTCAGCGTCCCATCATTGTGTTGCTACAAACAGCCAGTCTAGTATTAGAACACTGTTTCCAATATTCTAAACACTCACTGTTATCCTAAAGAACATCATGAATAGTTTGCATGTATATAAAAGAATTACTGGTTGTAACAGTTTCTGATATCAATATCATATTTAAAAAGATTTTTTTTGAAAGAAATATTAACACATTATTTTGGGTAACATGGACGACTGTGTGCAAAATAAACACTGGTGATGATGTTGTTGCCAATTATGTTGGTTTGATGTCAGTATAGCTGTCCTCTTGAGAATTAATAGAATTTTAAGACCATATAAACCATTATTATAAGTAACTAGCCATTCCCTAAAAAACATTTCGGCTGCTCTGAGGATATCAGACTCTCCAGGGAGTCAAGATGTGTAAACATACAAATCATCTGCACAACAATGGAATGATAAAATTTTTGTCGGCTGACTCTTTTCTGTTTAATGTCTGAATCTGTTCCACTGAAATATTTTGTCATTATCCCTGGCACCATCTTGCTGTGTCTGCATGTCCGACTAGAGCCAGTATGGTGCATGGCTTCCCACCAATACGATGGTGCACTCTCTTGAACAGTGCATCAATAAACGTCACCGTGTGAGCATGGGGACTCCTCTTTTATATGATCATAACAGGTCAAGGTTGTAGTATTTTGTATCTGTTTGATTTTCTGAAGGTTAGAGGAACGTATTAGGTTTTAGTGACCTATATATACCAGAGAAATACTAGTGAAAATAAGTTAAGAACACCTTGTTCTTTCAAATTACTGGAGTTGACCTGTCATGCCATGATATAACTATTGTAGTATGAAGTTCTTTAACTTCTTTTGAGTAGTATACCTGTAGACTGTGTGATAAGAAAACTCTTGTTTCGTTTGTGTAGATTCAATGTTTCAGCTGAATGTCCAGTTAGGTCAAACTTATTTATTGCTCACTTTACAGATTTTATAAAAAAAAAAGTAGCTAAAAGCAGGAGGGAAAAGCATTTAGGTCCCTTCTGAAAATAAGTAATAAAGATGGTCTAGGTGTTAGTATTGTATGTTCGATGGGTCAGAAATGTCCAGGAGTTCAGCGATGTTTTGATTGAGAAGACATGCTAGTGCAGAGCTGTGTCCTGCAGCATTATTTTAGGATTCAGAGAAGAGGATGTTTGTTCTCTATTGTTGACAAAAACTGGCTTTGCGAGATGTGCATGGGTGTCGGTGGTGTGTGATATAGAATGGGAAACAAATATTAATACATTCTTTCCTTTGGTTTAGTCATGTATGCTGGCATTTCATTGAGTAATAAAGACATTTTGTAAAATGTTGTGTCTTCTTCATCCACTGTTCTGCATCATAAACAAATTAGTTCCATTTGTGAACCTGATACATTCTCTATCAGTGGGGGATCCAGCGGGCAATCCTACGGTTGAAAACATTTGAAAGTCACAGAAGGACCCCAATGATGAGAACCCAAAAATAAAACCTTTGTACATGTATCATAAAAATACAACTCCATCAGTATCCCCCACCATCTTGCAGAATTAATTCTTTAACAAACCAAATCGGTCAGTGTAACTGACCATCACGAGACTGGTTTCCAGTTAATGTTTACAACACCTACCCACAGTTATCAGGGTTTCTTGTTATCATACTATACACAATAGGGCTGGGACAAGTCCATTTTTACTACCCGGGTACCCACCCCCATACTACCCAACCATACCCGGGTTCCCACTGAGAAAGGTACAAAATGTTCGTTGGAATTTATTTTACCATAGCCCTAGCAAAACGTATTTAGATACATGTAGTAAACAATCTGATCATGCATACACTGAAGTTGACTTAAGTTATATCTTTATTCAACCATATGAAAAGTCAGAAAGAATGGGTGCATAGTCAGAAATCATTAGCAACCTGTAGTGTAACCACTGAGCTGTACTGTATAGAGTATTTGTCATTAAACAATATATCACGTGACTAACCACGGACCCATGCTTGCCGTAAAAGGCGACTATGCTTGTCATAAGAGGCGACTAACAGGATCGGATGGTCAGGCTCGCTGACTTGCTTGATGCATGTCATCGATCCCAATTGCGTGGATCGATGTTCGTGATGTCAATCACTCCATTGTCTGGTCAAGACTCGATTATTTACAGACCGCCGTCATATAGCTGGAATATTGCTGAGTGCGGCGTAAAACAACAAACCTACCAACCAACTACTCCTACTCAGTACCCACCCGACCCGGGTACCAGAGTTGTCCGTCCCAGCCCTGGTACACAACGTGTTTTTTGTGTCTTGACACAAAAAAATATGAAAATTCATAAATACAATTATGAACCTAAACAGTTAACCAAAAACAAATTTAAAGATACATGTACATCTTCTAAGGTGTACTTAAGCCAAATTACTTAAACTGTAACAAACAAAAATATAACACCTTAGTTCCATCAATCTCTATGCACTTGAGTGAATTGTGAGTGGATTGTAACATGTTGGAGGGGTGAACAATATTCCTAGGTCTGGCAGATAAAAACTTAGCTGCAGCTGAATGTCAATCCTGGTAATGGTATATTTTGTTTTAAAGAATTCACATGTTGGAGATAGACCTGTGTCTTTTCAAAATGAACTGACTGTTAATCCTGTCAATCCTCTCAGTAAGCAAAATCACAGTGTAGAAAATAGAACCACAAGGCAGTGTTGATAACCTGATTTTTGCATGAGAATATACAGGTCTTTTCAAGGGAGTAAACAAGAACATGTAAAAATATGTAAGAAAGTTTGACACAGACCACATACTATTTCAGAAGTGCAGAAATGGCCCACTGACATTTTCTATAGGCATATCAATACAAGAGGAATTCATAATTCTAGATAAATGGATTTTGAATTAACAAACACATGACAAATATGAAGCAATTGCACTTTAGAAAATACATATAAACACATAGCTTAAGTAATTCCTGCATTTTATCAACTATTTTATATAAACTACTCAAAAGAACACCTGATTTTTTCATACAACTAAATTAATCTGTGATGGCATTTTGAGTAGTATACAATTCTAAAACCAATTGCAGCCATTGGTCATTTAAGAACATTATTGGAGTTGATTTCATTAATAAACTAATAAACAGAGATGTTTTGGTATTACAGCTTAAAAATGGTTCACAAACATTCATGATTATTTAGTTTCTCATTCTGGCCACCCATTGTGGACATCGTCTGGGTCATGTGTGCAGAGTTAGTTCTTTTGTTAGTTATGGTCGTAATAGGTGAGGTGATACAGCGTTTAACATCACATTCAAGATTATTGCCAGTATTATAGTGCTAGCCCACTGAGATACCATGCCACAGTTTAACATGGATACCCTACTCAGACACAGTGTACTGGCTCCAAGCTGACCAGTCTTTGTTTTATCCCCTTAATGCTGAGCGCCAGGCAAGGTAACAACAAGTAGCATCTCTTAACATCTTTTGGTATGACGCTCATTATATAGAGTATCTGAACATTCTTTTATCAATCGAAAGCGATATGGCCAATGTTTTCTGAGGTGAATTGATTGCAAAAGTTGTTCTTAAATGTGCTGCTGCTGCTGCAGGGGAAGTGTTCTGTAAAAGTGATATTAATATGTTTTTAGTTTTTAGTTGATGGACAGACAATGAAGACCCATAATGTGGCTTCTAGTTGTTTGTTGTTTAACACCACACTCAGCAATATTCCAGCGATCTGTAAATAATCAAATCTGGACCAGACAATCCAGTGATTGTCATCATGAGCATCGATCCATGCAATTGGGATACGATTACTCTGCGGGCCTGACCACCCCATCCTATTAGTCGCCTCTTATGACAAATATAGTCGCCTTTTATGGCAAACATGGGATGATGAAGACCTATTCTAACCCAGACCTTTAACGCTTCAAGACCCCCTGAATCAGCTATGAAAATAATTCTTTATAACATCAACAACACATAGTTATTTCAATAATTTATTGACTCAGATTTCAAATTTACAAACAATGTTTGAACGGTTTCCACTGAAAAAAAACTCAAGCAAAAAGATTCTAAGAAGGGTAAAGTACAATGAAATCATAAACAGACACACAATTGAAAGATGATACATTAAGGAAAAGATAAACTGTTGTCAACGGATCTAATAATGTTAGGGTCAATATTGGGTGCTCACTCCCTGAAGCCATGTTTCTTGTTAAATGTATCTTCTGGGAGGATGAAAATTCATCTTTCTCTTTAGATTGCCTATGTCCTATGTGTTGACATGAAGCCATTGTCCCTGTATGTGATAAGTAATGGTGATCTCCAGCTGAGAAATGAGGATGAAACTAGAAAAGAAACCTCAAAATCATTCAGTTTTTTTATGTCAAACACTATAACCAGGTACATAATTAACGTTATCTGGTACACATCTAGCTTTGCTACAAGTCCTGTCTAGATCTGACATACATATCAGCTGAACATAAATCAGAAATACTTTCATCAGAAATAAGACATTTTTAATATATTGTCTCGCTTCCTATAGTAACAGTGTAGGTTAATATCAACATATACACAAAATTATGCAGAAACAAGAATCTAGATTTTAGCCTAGAGCATGAGGTATTTTAAAATGAATACCTCATTAACAAGTCTGTGCTTACTATGTCATGACTGCACTGGATGCATCAATAAACAATATGATACATATGTACCAGATTTCTAAATAGCAAATGGACAATACTTAAGCATCCAGACAATGTTTAAAATGAAATGTAGTTGTACCATATTTGAAATTTGTCTGAAATCAGCCTTACACAAACTTTTTAAAGTTATCTTTTTTGATTTACCAATCTGCTGAACAGACGCCCATCTCAGGAGCCATGGTGGATGGTATACTACTTCCTTCAAAACAACTTATCATCATGCACGTGTAGTTATTACAGTACACATTGATAGTATCTCCCATTACCTTGAAACAAAGAATAATCAACTGTAAAATCAACAGGAACTCTTGTATATCCAATATGGACAAAATCCACATAAAAAGCATATTTGGTGATAACAATTTTATTGAATTATTTATCAAAATATGATAAGTGTTGACAGAGCTGAGTTCTAACAGCGATATGATATATATAGGACAAGAATAACCCTGTACACAAATTTTACACATATTTGTACATATTTCTACAGGCACAATACCTCTCCAAACAGCATCCAGCTTACCACTATGGCACAATATTTACATTTCAGTTTAGACAGCATAGCAGCATGCAAGTGTTTCAGCGCCACAAATAGATCACGTGACACTAAGCAACACGTCATCTACACATTTGTACTGTCAGTTTACATTGTAATACATTCAACAGCACAATTTTGACACAAATTTTCTAACATAGAGTATGATATATTGTCTCACTTCAAAGAAACCACTAATATGTTCATATATATATACTGATGTTTTGAAAAAAGATGTCCACTTAAGAAAAAAACATATTGGCCAGTTGATATTAGGACTTAGAATAATAACATAGCTGTTTGTTTCTTGCAGTATGTGGACAAAAATCAATACTCCAGTGTGCCTGGGAGAGGAGATCAGAATGTGAAACTTCAAGTGATCATTCTTGAATAGTTCAAAACAGGGTGGGAAGAGGCTAAAATTCACAAATGTAACAATAACCATAAAGTATGCATAGCAACCGTATTAAAACTGCAATATCAAGTAATAAGACTTTGATGTCCTTATCAATAATTATAAAACAAAATGTAAAATATGTTGTTAGTACAAGGGTTGATAGTATTTCACACCTGTATTGATGTTTGATGGAAAGAAATATCTAAGCAGTAACATGCCCTTAATTCCAGGCCCAGTCTATTCAAATGTTCTGCTCACTTGAAGGCCATACTGGTTCAGCAAAATTGTAGGATTTGAGTTGTTGAATCACCCAACAAGCATAACACAGAGGAAGAGATGGGGCTGCAACTGATCACCAGCTTCATGGGTTGAAGTTCCCTGGCAGTTAATAATTACTCAAACAATCCTCCAGCTTCCATTATGTTTTCCTTAAAACAAACAGCCTTCAATAATATTATAAATTACACTTTTCTGACAAATATCATGTTAAATTATGGTTAACAGCCATGAACAAATTGGTGAAATAATCCTGATTCCTTTAAGTTTGATTTTACCTCTATATTCCATATCATAGTACTGCCAAGCAATGGCTGACTGATTAGACTTGTCAAGTATCAAGTAATAACATGACACTGTCCTTGTTAGATGAAGGAATCAATACAAAGCCACACATGGAAGCATTTGACACAAGTATCAAGATGATGTCAGTGTATACACATATCAGGGAGTGCAATCAGGACACAAATATAGACTCATATTTCGTTTCATGTATATTAGAATCATAACATAAGATCTACACTCATGTAAATATGACATCAAGATTAATATCATACAGTAACAGGCATATAACGGCATGGGAATTAGCTTTTACTTAATAATAGTGGGAGCCTGTCATTTGTTCTTGATATTAAACTTTCCAGAAGTTAGTAGAAACTTATGAAAATACAAACGCATAAAAGAGAAAGAGTTGATGAAACGAAGCATACCTCATATTCATATAGATTGATTACTACTGTATAACTCCATTGGTACACAACTGAGGATATGGTACACATCAACTAGTAGTTATGTCAAATGCCACTCAAACACACATTATCACTGGCATCACTGGTCTCAGGAGGAAATATGAGCAGGAGTCATTCACAGATCACATATATTTTCTCGCATAGACATACACCTGTGTTTTTACAGATGCCTCTATGACAAAAACCACTTAAGACCACAGTTATTAAAGGCCAAATTTATTTTCTTTCATCTACATTGTCAGTGACTAGAAACAGATAACCACTAAGGTGATGATCGTCGTGCAGGGATTAACATATTTCATATCCAGTGTTTTACAGTGTGTCTACTTTAAGATGTTTTCATATGCCTTTTGGGATTTAATTGCACCAACAACAATACTCTTGATCTGTCTCTGAACTTTGTGAATGTCATTTTATTACCAGCTACATATCTAGCAGTTGTAATTTGGTACGTTTTCACCCTTCCATTTCATAGAGATGAGACCCTTTTGACTGTCGGCATCCTCAGGTTAAAGTTAATCACACTAATCGTTCACCATTTGTCATGAGTTCAGATGTTGAAAAGTAAATTTATCACCTGTCACGTATAAAAAATACCACAAGATACTAAGGTAAAAACATGATTTCAAAACGTGCCTTCAGGCATCTGCAATTTTCACCATGCCATTACGATTGTGAGTGAGTGAGCTGGGTTTTACGCCGCTTTTTAGCAATATTCCAGCAATATCACGGCAGAGCACCAGAAATGGGCTCCATTACGATTGTAGATGTGGCACTCTGATGCAAAGAACATAGAACCCCGCTAGGCTCAGATGTCCTCCATATCTGTGATCTTTGTTGTATCTATGCTTGTACCCAATGACCTCTTGCACAGGATCAATAAATATCACTATCAAGATCCAGGAAATACTGAGTGTAACGGAGGACCTGATTCGACCTAGCAGGCAGTCCCAGCATGTGGATTAAAGTCATTCATTGCCTGTTTACTCAAATTTTATGATGTATTTGAATGCTGCAGTGAACAATGACATTGACCATAGACAGACACTAAATCAATTTCACACTGATTATTAATTATACCTAGACTACAATGGGCACAGACTGAAGCAGAATACGTTTTCGACAGTTGTTCAATGGATGAATATTCTCTGAAGGGTTCGTAGTGTGATGACATCAGTGATAGTGTGTATTTAGTATAGCTCTCGCAGATGAAAAGACAACGTTGCTGCATGCTAGTTGCAGCAACAGTGACAGTTTAGGAAGCCCACATCTCAAGTTCTCTCATATCATCATCATCGTCAGCCCTGGCTGCAACAGGTCTAGGCCCTAAAACATAGGACAAGGATGTAAATGATTCCGGGTATATATTGCTGTCATCATTTATAATGTGTAATATTTTTCAATATGATTTACATATGGTATGTTGAATTAAATACTGCATACCTGAAAACAATTTAACATCATCAAGCCAAGTATGTAATTACCATATATATATATAGTAATAATAAATAAGTGGAGTAAGATTGAACACAGTTTTAATCTTTAAGTTTTAAAACTGTTCAATCTTACTCCACTTATTAACTATTACTATATTGTGCCTGAGAGTTAGAACTTTATTGTGCTTTATATATAAATATATTTATATTGCAACAAATCAGTCATTCCCAACACAAACTAAACCTCTCACATTTACTGCTATGTTTGCTATAATGTTAAAGAACAGACTGTATATCAACATACGTGACGAAGATGCAGCTGCGGCCTCGGGTTCTGATGTTGGGACGGAAGGCAGGTCTTGAGGGACATCAACATTGACATCGAGGAGTTGTCTGTTCAACTCTTCTTCTTCCAGCTCATTCAGTTCAGACAAAAGGTCATCCTGCGAAAAAAACATATGATTTTGACAAATATATAAAAACTTTTCTAATCATGCTAATTACGTCACCATTTTCGTACATCAGACCTTGAGCACCAGCCATGTTACTTTATCAAGAAAGTCTACTGTAACCAAGGTAACCTTACTTAAAGTCCTTGAAAATATAGACTACAACTATAAGAGGTTCTGAACTATATACAAAGATTATTCTTGATAATGATGTCTTACTAAACCGACAGTGAGTGAGTGAGTGAGTGAGTGAGTGAGTTGGGTTTAACGCCCCTTTTAACAGTATTCCAGTTATATCGTGGCGTGTCAGCTTAATGTGGGAGGAAAGCCGGAAGTGATGCAGGTCTCAGACGTTTACCACTTCGGTGAAACCCACGAGCACGGGTATGGTGCTGACAAACCTAGAAACGTAATCGGGGCAAACCGGGATTCGAACCCACAATCATAGGTTTCAGGCGTGCCCAAGGGACGCAACTCTGCACAGCGAATCGCGGCGCCTTAGACGACTGGGCCACCCGTGCCCCCCAAACAGACAGCAATATCAGGTTGATGTTATGCGCTTCAAACCATTGGTCATTAGCATGATAAGCAAATAAGCCATTGACCCATTTCAGAAATTGTGTATGTTGTAACTGCCCAATCCTCTTTTAGTCTCGTTTGTTCTTTAATGTCGCTGTCAGCAATATGATGGCAGCCTGTAAATTATCAAGTATTGTCCAGAAAAAAAACAGTGATTAATATTATGAGCAACGCCCCACGCTGTCAGATACAGTGAGACACAACCAAATCCATTTAGACACCTCATACAACAACATTAGGTTTCCAGGGACATACATAACTGGGAATCACCACAGGGGCCAGGGTGGTCCTTCACAGTGAGTGAGCATGTAAATATTAAAAATGGGGCCAAGCACACTAATAAGTAATACTAATGGTCTGAGTTACCAGCACAATGTCTGGGTACATTGACACACGTTCACTTTTCTTGTCGTGACCATGTTTACATATTTCCAACCAATTATTTGGTGACTGAACATAAAACATGAAAGTACAAAATGCTGTCCTACCTCATCAAAATCTTCACCCAATCCAGTTGGATTTGAAATTGCTTCTGAAATTTCATTAGCAATTTCTTGTTGTTCAGCTACATCGTCCATTAGATTGTGTACTTGATCAATATCCCTGAAAGTAGAATTAAGCCATGTCTGTCAACTCTGACATCAACAGTTGAAAATGTTACAAATTTTATATATTTATAAACCTCTTTGTCATGACCACAGACCAAGAAGTTGGAAGTAATGTTCCAGTAATGTAATAAGCAAAAGCTATACCATATCAATAAGAAAACAACAAAGGTGACAGCATGTAAATAATCAAGACTGGACCTGACAACCAGTGGTTGTTATTAGTAGTGATGTTACAACAATGGAACAAAAACCATAATAATCACGGCAACCTAAAACTGAGTATCAAACCAAACTTACATGTTGTCGTGTGCACCTTTAAGGGCTTTAGCAGCAGTGCCCATCACCTTAAGCACTTCACTGTTTGTGCTTGCATTTTCTAATGCCTCTCTCTGGAACTCTATTGTTGACAAAGTACCATCAATCTGAGTTAGTTGCTTCTCGTATCTCTTCTTCCTCTTCAATGCCATCAAGGCAACTACAAAAGGAAACACTGTAATAAGCATCCAATCCAGATAGCATGTACAAAGGAAAATATTTTGGGCTTAATAGAATCATTGAACAGTCTGAATGTGACAGTTCTAATTTATGGTAAAAACACAATATGCCACAATAAGGATATGCAGCTGTACAAATCATGCAAATAGGCTGGCTATCTAACACATAGAAGATGATCAGTTGCTACAGTTATAACTGGTAATCATGCTTATGAGACACTAGAGGTGATGTTGAGATATCAGTTTGATTTATGATTATGGATAAAAAAAAATGTCAAGGACAAGTTAGAAGATTGATCTCTGTCATGTTGAACACAGTCCAACCTGTTTTTTGACAGCAATCAAGTGGGGTAGGTGAGGTGAAATGGGTTTATTAACATTACATTCTAGGTTATTGCTGTTTTCACAGTGCTAACCTACTAAGGTACCATTCCGCACGTCAACACTCAGACACAGTTATCAGTATACAGATCTCAGAAAACCAGTCCTTGTTTTATCCCCTTATCGGCGTTAGAAACTAACATTTTTAGTCCACTAGTCCTTATAATGATAACATATAGCAAAAACCTTAAAAATGGCAAATTTCTACCAGTCCTTATGATACCATAACTATTGGGCAGTTTGGCAAGGACTACAGGACTAGTGTCAATTTCTACCGCTGCTTAATGCAGAGCTTCAGGAGGATTAAAACTTAATAAAAGTAAGTAGGATATATAAATGTGTTTTAGTAACTGTATTATGGAGTTGGGGATTGAACCACCTTCCTTCTCAGGGTTAGAACTTCACACTAGCCTGCTAGCCCAGGGATAGTACAAGTTCCTGTGGGCTAGTACAAATTTCCCCATTGTGTTAACATTACAAAGGGATACTATCTTTAAAGCTTTTAAGTTTAGTTCTAACCCTGCTTCTGCTCTCTGAGCAGACACTCTCTGTGTTCCCAGTAGGGTTAGAGCATGCAACAATGGAAATCATTACTAGAATATACTGTAACTCTAAACCATGTCTGCTGACTGATATTTGTGGTAATGGTATGATGTGATATGACAAGAATGGTTTTAAACAGTTGAAGGCATCTGAACAGATTCTGAAGTGTATCCATCCAAGGGACATGAATGGGTTTCACATATTGAAGTGAGGCATCAAACCTCCACATTCATGTGACAAGACACGGCTCAGGGTCAAAAGACTATTCTACCTACCACCAGAGACCATATAATAGATTATATGGTCTCTGCTACCACCATGACCACCTTGTTGACATTACTTTAATCTTGGTGTCATAAATTGTCACAACACATGGTATAAACAATACATTTGACATCGTTTTCTATGTGACATAGAACACAATACTTGTGACATGGTCTGAAGTACACAACTGTTGGTAGCTAATGTGTCATACACAACTTTGTTACTCACACTGCCAAGAGTTTCACAATGTCAGTGTTCTTTCTGTTTATCAAAACATAAACCTCACTGTGTTAATGTTTTCTTCATGTCATCTTAGGAAGGATATAGACTACAATAACAGTTTTTGGAATATTTTTATTTGTTAATTACATGTATTACATATCAGTAGTTGATTATAAAAACAATTTACCTGACTTTTGCCCTGCCCTCACTTCCTGATTCGGCCTATCAATAAAGCAACAAGATCCTCCGTTATAATTAATCTAAACAGGTGATACTAAACAGGCGTAATTATCTCGGGTCATCATCGTAAATATATAGTAAATAATGCTGTTACTTATTGTACCCACCCCTTTTGTTTTTGGTTCCATTTTTCTTGGCTGTTTGAAGTTCTGCCTCAACCTTCTTTTCGAGAAAATCGGACTTTTTCATCAACATTTCTTCTACATCTCTCAACCTTTGGATTGCCTCCGCTGGGGTAGGAGGTGTTTTCTTTGAGCCGAATAGTTTAATCCCAAAAAGAGACATCTTGACGTGAAAATGTAACCGAATAAACACACACACAACACGACTCTGACTCACAGAGGGTATTTCTTAACTCTAAATATTGATCGCGCACTGTATTGTAAGACTCGCTCTTATTGGTTGAAAATTGTGACAAGGGAAATAATTGAGTCTCATCGAGTTAATGTGGACCATTAATAAAATAATTTATGAGTGGTCCAAAATGGTCCTCTGAAGTTGTTTCGCCCCTTCACAGTATGAATGTTGTGGCATATTGTGCATGGCGATTGTTTAAACGATCACTAGGCTCAAGCGTTCGGGATGGACTGGCCTTTTCGTTGGTTTGCTTTGAATGGTGACGTCAGCCGGAAGTTGATAACATTTTCTGACTTGAATTTCGTCTTGAGCGGTGCGCACTCTGGTGTTATGTAAATAAAAGCGTCAAAACCCTTTCCATTTTCATAACAAATCTCTGCTAAAAGGATAGTTTATTGTACGATTCAGACTATATTATGAACATATGTTTATGAACCACTATCAAACAGGAATGATATCAGGTGTTCGAGAAAACGTGGCGTGTCCTGTCCCACCGGTAGCACCCGTCTCAAACACATGCAAAGGCAAGTCAACTGTTCACCTGCAATCAAAACAAGCAAAAAGGGAACCATGGTACAAGTCAAAATAGGGAATTGCATCGGACATCATGTTTGTCACTGATAAGTCAAATTTGGATATTTCCTCCACATGTCTAGATCGATCTGCCATAAAACCTTTTGAAAGCTTTACTTAGGTATTGATTGTTGTAACCTTGATCAACCACCTTCTGAGAAAGAGTCGTATGACGCCCTTTTAACTCTTGGTAGAAAGAGCATGCTCGATTGGACCTTAAAATTTGTGAAATGTTAATACCAAAGGCTGGAGCTGCTGGAATATTGCTCGACATTAAGTCATATACTTAGGCTGTTTTTTTATAATAACAAAAGTAGAAAGTATTCTTTAAGCTCTATTACCTAGATATAACTCTTTCTCGGATTTAAATGATTTTTAGCCCGAAACAGCGTCTCAAAATATGACAAATTGTGCAAAAATGACCTAAGTATTACACTCTTCAAAACAAGAAACGCATAGTTAAAAAATAAGGATATTTATTAAGCGGATGTAAAAGTATCTACACAGAATATGCGTGAACACAATCAAGCGAAATTAGACACAGTGATCGACAAAAGCATTGTCGTCATTGTCAGTATTAATTCAGTTCAGTAATTGCACATGTGTAGCCACAAGGGGGCGTCATGGTCAGTACCTGGTCACATCACCTCTTGCAGCCGTCACTGCTCGACACCTCCTTGGCACAGATTGCACAAGTCGTCGGATATTTTCGTGGGGAATTCTTCGCCATTCCTCCTGTAAGGCGTTGGCGAGTTGTGCCAGTGTGTGGGGAGGCTGGTGACGTTGACGGACGCGTCGATCAAGTTCGTCCCACAAATGTTCAGTCGGGTTGAGATCAGGCGATTTGGACGGCCATGGAAGGACATTGATGTTCTCATTAACAAGGAAATTAACTGTTGCACTTGCTGTGTGGGGCCGAGCGTTGTCATGTTGGAACAGCTCCCTCTGGCGGTCCAAAGTTGGGGGGAGGTGAGGACGCAGAATTTGGTCTATGTATCGGTTTGCTGTAAGATTACCCTGGACAACCACTAACTGTGATCTACCCGTGTAGGATATGGCTCGCCACACCATGACACTCCCTCCACCAAATCGGTCCACCTGTCGAACGCAGTTCGGCTCAAAACGTTCATGTCGACGTCGGTATACACGTTGTCTTCCATCCCATGCCTGTACTCTGTTGCACTATCGGACACGTCGTTGTCGGTGTAGACGTCGCAAGACAGGTCCAACTATTGGTCGTCTCGCCCGAATTCCCACTTCCCTCAGACGATTTCTGATGGTTTGGTTGGAAATTCTTCGCATACCAGGCACTTGTCCTGCAGTGTCCGTTGCTGTAGCAAATGTACCGATCCAGAGCAGGGATGGTCACTCTTGGTCTTCCACTTCTGGGAAGATCTTGAGTCGAATTAGTGCGGGTACATCGATCCCATAGTCGAGATATGGTGCTTTGGTGAACGTTGAAGTGTCTTGCAAAGGCAGACTGGGACTCCCCTGCTTCCAAACGTCCAATGGCGATATTTCGGTCAGCTGCAATTAATCTTGGCATTTTTCGATCTCCGTTCACGTCAGAAAATTCGTAATGAACTGATGAATCTTGTGTGGTCTTTTATAGTCAGTGTCTCTACTCTTGTTTCCAACACTTTGCACGTGCATTGTGCTGAAAACTTTTTCTGAAAGCAATTTCCGTGCATCCTTTGCAATTTTGCTGATTAACGTTTACAAAAAAACATTTTGAGATGTGTTTGCGCGCAATGCACAACAAACATGACATGATTAACGGGAATCAAACATAAGAATTGTCTTTATGACGATTGCTGGGGGAAAAAAACTAATTGAAACTCTAACTTATTTTGTTTTGCACCAAAAAGACAAAATAGACCTCGTAGCACATGGTATCCTTAGAAGGGTCGTTTCCATATTGCCGAATTCTAGGGTATATAAGGTGGGTATCATCTCTAATTATGAAAAGCACGAAGACAGATATTGATTTATCATTTGTTTTTAAGAAAAGTCAATTTTGGAATTATTGACATGTTTTTACCTGAACTGTTTGAAGCGAGTAATGAATAAATTGTCGCCCTAAAACAAGCGTTTTAAGTTTTTATATCAGATGTAGACTTTACATATTACGTTTAATATGTAATATTATATACATGTTTGTAAATTATGGTGAAATATTTCGTCAAAATAATTTTGTCCTGCAGATTTCTGATTTCCGATGAACAGACTTCCTCTTTAAGTTTTAGTTGAGAAGAGGATGTCAATCCCTTTTTTGGTACCCGGACTCGGGGGTCTATTTAGAGGGTATTCGGGACTCGGTAGTCGCAAATAAATCGTATTTGGTACGCAGATTCAACATTAACAAAAGTATAAAAAATCACATCGCACCCTTTTCTCAATGCTTTTTAGAATTGTGTTAAGTAGTATTTGAGATTCAGAGGTGAGCTAATGGGACTCGTGGTGCAAAAATAGATGGTAGTCGGGATTCAGGGGAGGAGCGGGTTGGCACCTTAAAAAAAACCCACTGACCTGGGCTTTAAATTCTTCTGTATGACATCTGTACTCGTCTGTAAACAAGACGTCTCTCCACCTATACAGAGGGGCATTGTCACATGACTTCTGAAGCATTGTAGCAAAGCCTGTTTGTGCTGTTGGTCAGAATTTGAGGTATGGCGGGTCAACGTCAACGCAGTTCAAGTGAACGTAAGCGATTTCTGTTAGTTTTGGGATGGACCCTCCTGTGAATAAGAACTGTCTGAGCTGTCGTCACGGCCGTTTACATCCGATTCCGCAGATATGTGAGCACTCTCCAACGGCCATGAGAAAGGGTAGTTTCTCTGGGTCGCCCAAACGTGGTTTATCTCTGACGTCATTCTGTTGTTGATGTCGTCGTATGAGTGCAGCTATGCTGTTTCTGTAATAGTTGAAGCGTCTTGCAACTTCCGGTTGCGTTTTTCCTGCTGCAAGTATTCTAATGACTCGGTGGCGTTAGACAGTCGTGGCGTGTCGTCACCAGTCAGAACTGTGTCTCTTTGTGAACGTTGACAAGGGTACGCTATCAGATTGTACAGCAACGACAAGTTGTTTGTTTGTTTATTGTTTAACGTCGCTCTCAGCAATATTCAAGCTATATGACGTCGATCTGAAAATAATCGAGTCTGGACCAGACAATCCAGTGATTGATATCGTGAGTATCGATCCACACAATTGGGATCGGTGACATGCAACAACCAAGTCAGCGAGCCTGACCACCCGTTACTGTTTCCTTGTTCCCGTGACATATACTCACACGTGTACACGCACACAGAAAGAAAATATGATTGAACAATATTCATCAAGAAATATTCCATCAAGTATTTACCAATGTGCCAAAGTAGTTCTATGTGTGCCAAAAGAAACTTTACATAGTTGATTTGGCCTTGTAATATAACTGAGATTATTGTACGGTTTCAAGTATTGTTTGAGTACTCTTCATGCAGTGTATCGAGTCATGGTGAAGGGTGATGACAGAATCAACTAAAATATAGCTAGCTGTGTACGCAGCATCGATATAAGTTATGATGTACTCTGGTTGTTAGACCAGACAAAATTGTGTTTACTATGGATTGGCCATCCATGTTTCTTCTACACAGATCTGACTTCTATACAGTGTATACGTTATATATATATAACGTTATATGTTTTTTTACCAAATCTGAAACTATTTCGGTTTGCAACAGATAAAAGACTCCTGTAAGTGGTCAAATGGTTTAATTTGCCATACTGACTTCAGAAAATGAGTGATTTCATAAAAAAAACCATGAACTTGCCAAAATGTCATTTTACAAATCAATAGCGTGTGTGTCCACCTCCGGTTGCGATGCAAGCAACACATCTTCGTCTCATGGAATGGACCAGGCGTCGCACAAAGTCCTGTGGGATAACTGTCCATATCTGCTGGAGCATGTTTCGAGGTTCCCGGAGTGTCTGTGGAACACGTGGTTGACGTCGAAGGCGCCGATCCATCTCATCCCACATGTGTTCGATTGGTGAGAGATCAGGGGAGCGAGCCGGCCAGGGGATGACATTCACGTTGTTTTGTTGAAGAGAATCCTGAACAAGTCGAGCAATATGAGACCGGGCGTTGTCATGTTGAAAGGTAATGCCTGGGCCATTACGACGCAACAACGGTAGAACAACAGGGCCGATGATCTCGTCGCGGTAGCGCTGTCCAATTAGATTTCCATCTACCACTATCAAACGGGTCCTCTGTCTTGCTGTAATCCCACCCCATACCATAACGCTGCCGCCCCCGAACCGATCTTCTTCCATGACACAATGGTTGACGTAACGTTCACCTCGACGTCGGTACACTCGAATCCGTCCATCGCTGTGGCTCAGGGGGAAAACAAGACTCGTCAGTGAATAGAACTTGTCCACTACATGACCGTCCAGCGTAGACGCTGTCTGCACCACTGTAGACGGTGGTTTCCTTTCAAAATGGGACGTCTGGCGGGTCTTCTGGCGACGATCCCTGCACATCTGAGGCGGCGACGCACGGTTAGTGAAGATATTCGTCGAAGGCCAGGGATGCTTCTTGCAGTCACTGTTGCTAGCTGGAATCGATTTCGTAGGTGTGTTGTTCGAATCCAGTTGTCTTGTCGATTATGGGTTACGCGTGGCCTGCCACTCCGAGGATGGTCTCTGACTGCATTCGTCTGTTGCCAACGTTGCCATAAACAACAAATGGTGTTTCTGTGGACGTTAAATTGTCTTGCAACATCACGTTGACTCGATTATTTTTCAAGCATACCAATAGTTCGCAATCGCTCATTTTCAGACCCGCGTGGCATTTCGTAATTGTGAATAATTGCGTAATTTTGTTGTTTTTCTGAGTGGTTGTTGTCAGCACGATGCTAAACAATACATATGGAATCCCGTTAACGCCGTGTTTTTATACCCATTCTTGGGTAGTGAAATGCATGGGGCTTGCATAAAAGTCAACTTTTGCATGGAATGCATGCTTTTCTGTAGCAGTTGCGTTTTTGTGGCTTGATTCCATACATGTACTACAATATTGAAAACCAAACTTTACTTGTTTGAAAAATACACTAAAATATTGGTGTCACAGGAACTTTTGTTGTTGAGTATAGAATGATTGAAGACTTTGCACTTAAAGGAAACTTTAAAATAGCATTATTGTTGTTCTCCTGGGTACTTTGAATTCTGTATCTTGTAAAATGAATGGGAACTGTGTGTGTATGGTGGTCTGGAGCAATGGTTGGATTCTTGTTGTAATATCATGTAAGTGATATTTCTTTGGTTACTCATGATATGCTAAATGTTGAGTTGACATTTGTTGTCCATGGTAGAGTGTAACAATTAGTTAATCACTTGTTCTTGTTAACGGTGCATTTAAAGGGGGGGGGGGGGGGGGGGGGGTCATAAAATGCATTACAATTTTGTCAGTACGTTACCGCAGTCGTTATCTTGTCAAAAGGGCAATACGTGTGGTTGTTGCCACGAGAGAATCGCCATAATGTCAAGTTATGAGCAGTTGAGGCAAAAGAATTGAGAAGATAACCGGAGTATGTTGGCAGAATTAGGTCTTGGGCTGCCATCCACCATGATTCCCGATAGGTGTAACATATACATATCATATGTACATTCAATTCTTTATTTCAGTATAAAGGCCATAGGCCCACGTACAAATACTCATTGAAAAATACAGTATGAGGCAGATGACAGAGGGTATTAAGTGACAGTATTTCGGATTGCAAGTGCTTCCAGTATATACTTAACACAATTAGTTTTAATACTAGTGCGGTTACAAGATAATAGTGTAATATATTTAAATAAAGTAGGATTGGAAGAGTAATAAATAGGTAAATACGTATTTCTTAAATATCTGTAACATGGGCAGACAAGCATAAAATGGAACTCATCTTCAATTTCCTGTAAATTACAAAATCTGCACTGCCTATTACAGTACTCTATACCGCATCTTCTACCTAAATTTACCATCAATGGTAACTCGCCAACTCTTAACAAACAAAACATACGTCTTTTATGACGGCTTGTGATTTCACAGAGATACTTTTCAGCTGTTAGCAATGACTTATATTCCTTATACATTGATAATTTTCATATTTCACAAACTTTACAATACAAGTCCTGTTGGTTACAGTCTTTTAACCTTTGAATAAATGCATTAATAAAGAGGGTCTCATTACCAACTTCCTGCGAAATCCACACGTGGCCAAATCCATAACTGAATAATAATCTTTTGACACAAGTTACCCATGTAGTGCGATTAACTTCATCTAAAGATTTCAGCATTAAATAACATTGCTTAGGGTATCTATAACTGGGTAAAGATAACAATTTCAACCAATATTAATACATCTCTTGTGATAATCAATAAATAATCCATATCTACCACATTCGCCAAGGGCAGCAACATTTGTAACATGACTTCCAATTCCAATAGTAAATTTACAGAATTTAATCTGATTTTTTTCAATTGCTGCAATTTTTGAATAGCCCCATATTTCTGAAGTGTATAATAATACAGGCTTAGTTTGAATGTCAAATATTTTAAAAAGTATATGTACGGGTATGTTCTTCAAACGATGCTGTAATTTCTTAACAACGAACATAGCCTTATTTGCCTCCTGAACAAGAGAGTTGATACCAGTCGTCCAACACAGCCGATTTGAAAATAACAAACCAAGATAATTATAATCGGTAGATACATTAACATTAACATCTCCAAACCTCCATTTCTCAGTACTCCTAAGTTTTTCACCATTTCTGAAAAATAAAATTTCAGTCTTACTAAGGTTAACTTCTACACCCCATTTAGTACAGAAAGATTTAAGGATATTAAGTTTTCGTTGGAGACCAACCTATGCTGGTCGTAAGAAGCAAACAAATGGATTGGTTGGTTAGGCTCGTAGACTTAGTTGATTGTGTGTGATCATATCCCAATGGCACTCACAATATCAATCACTGGATTGTCTGGTCCAGATACTATATATTTACTTCCCGACCTCGGTCATGTAGCTGGAATATTGCAGAGTAGAGTGTCTTATAACTAACTAACAAACAAACAAAAAACATTTCCAGACATTATAACTTGCTAATGGGATCGCACCTCCTCCTTACTCTAGTCTGAATTAAACAAGTACATTGGACCACAGCATGGTACGGATTTGTAATATTGGTCCTAACTTTTTATCATGGGGTACACCTTTTTGCATTTCCCTAAGCAATTCTTTCATGTGCATCAGTCTTGTGAATTAGTGTAAATGACTTTTTTGTTAAATATATTGAGCGCATTAATTTGAAAGTAGATCATTGCTAAACTCACTTTCAGAAGAGTCAATGTTATTGGTTGTTGATTTCAAACTCATGAGTGACACATTCTGTGCTCAATTAAAATACTTGGACATAGTGACATATCACTTCCAAATGTAACTGATGGCAAATCTGTCCAGGGTATCTTATCATAATGCACTGGAACCGAGGATGACTGGCTGTATTAATTAAATGGTTTATTTCCAGTGCAGGGTTGATGTGATCAAGCATAAAAATAACTTCACTCACTAAAGAAGAGGTAACAACATAAAAGCAGAGACCATATATACCGAGTTTATTTCAAATCGTTATATATCTAAGCCTGAATTAATCTAACTGGTAAGATAAATTATTTTGCACAATTTAGGATCTGCAACAACAAACAGATGGCCGGCCTATATCAGGTTAGATTGGCCTCGAACATAGTTTGTAGGATTATTGATACATTTTATAGCAATTCGCCACAACTTGGACTGTGTTATTTCCCTTAAATTGATATCCCTTACAACAACGTTATCCTACACGTTTGGTCAATATGACATTAGAGTATGTTGTTTATATAGACCTATCTAATAATTTAGTTTTGCATGTTTAAAACAACTATTGTTTGACATGAAAATACCATATAAGAAACAGCACTATTTTGGTATTTCACAAGCGACACCGTATATACAACATGGCTATCTCATGGGGGACAAAGGTGGCTGCCGGCGTGACGGTTTTGCTTGCCGTCATATTGAGCGAGTTGTATGTCTTGTCTCTCCATTGGGAAACAAAGGCGAGAATGTTAAGATTGCAGTTTGTAATTCTGATACAAGCATTCTTGATTCTTCTATCCAGATTTGTGTGGAATAACTTCTCGACTATGTTCGATAAGCCGTCACAGAAGCAAGGGTTAAAACATGTCAAATATTCTGATAATGATCTTCATCAGACAGATGTGACTCAACCATATCTGGAAAAGTGGACAATATGGAGGGTTGTTCTTCTGACTTACATAGTGTTATGTCATACGAGTTACTTTTTGAATTTTTATTTCATTGGCCGAGAACCATATTTTATAGCATACAGTTGTTATGCAGCACTTGGGCTGTTGTTTCAAATAGTCACAGGTTTAGTGTTTGTCAAGGTTATTCTGTTCTGTTTAAGAAGCATTTCAAGAAGTAAGCCCGTCTTTTCAAAACAACGGGAATTACAGCTTGTACTTATTTATGCTATTCTTTTATGGACTTATGGTCTCTATAATGCTGCGAGTCCACCAGTTGTAAAAGAAGTCCTTATCCCAGTCAGAGGATTGCCGGAATCTCTTGATGGATTCAGAATTGTGCAGATATCAGACATTCATCTAGGACCAACTGTTGGAAGATGGAGACTTACTAGGATAGTAAATATCATTAATGAGCAAAATGCAGGTAAATATGAAAATGAAACAATGATTTCAAGCATCATTACATTTTATGCCATAGTGTGTCTCATTCATTAATCACAACACATGATCACAACCCATGCACTCAGTATTATCTTTGCAATATGGTGAAATAGGAGAAATATGTAACAGAATTATTGTACTCTGCCTGTGGTCATCGGTAGCAACACAGCCCTTCTTCGGAAGTGTTATCAATGTTATTTTTTGTAACTCAGCTACTGAGTCTAAAGACAGTAAATGTATCATTTTGCTGGATACTTAAAAACCTTCTGATGCCACAGATGTTGACATGTTAATCATGTTTATGTGGAGAGAAAAAGGGTATTCAACATTTTTCTCCTTGCATATATAACACAAATACTACTTTTGGTCAGTTCAAAGTTGAGTGAATCAAACAACTTTGTCATGTGTATTCCTGGTATTTTACATGACGGTAAATGTCAAAAATTATTTTCATATATTTGAAAACAAGTTTGACCCTGTATTCAACATGTTCAAGGAGACATTTGAGCTTTTAATGTTGGCATGATTTCTTATGGTTTCAGATGTTGTTGTGATGACTGGAGATCTTGTTGATGGAAGCGTTGCAAGCCTCAGGGAAGCAGTAGAACCTGTTAAGGATATTCAGTCCAAATTTGGGAAATATTTTATAACAGGTGCAGTTTGTATGTTTGTGTCTTTCCTTTATTACAATGTATTTTGTCTATATCACTTAGTGTTTTCTTCATTTTCTGGGGTAGCCTGGTGATTAAAGTGTTGACTCTTAATTATGTTAATCAAATTAACGACAAAGAAGGGGCATTGGTTGGCACTGTCATCAAAGGTTGCCTGAATTCCTTGTGCAGAGTTAACTTCCTCGGATAGGCAAACCTGGTTTCTAGGTTTGTCAGCATCAAACCCTTGCTTGTGGGTTTCACTAAAGTGGTGGACATCTAAGATCTGCATCACTTCATAATTTCCTTGCACATCAAGCTGCCATGCTGCTATAAAACTGAAAATACTTTTCAAAGTGATTAACCAAACTCAGTCACTCACTGGTAATGAAGATCTTGGTTTGATTGGCTCTGTGTACAATATGTAAAACATGTAAATTGCTTGAAAAACCTCAGTTACATTAACTTGATCAAGGGGTGCCATCCTATATAATGATGTTTCGATGAATGTTCAATGTCAATACTGTATTGAGACAAGTTTTTGAATATCCATACTAAATTAATGATTCAATGCCAGACCTCATTATAACCTCATAATGCTCAAAATCCCATGAAAATCCTGAGTTAGAATTGGTCCCCTGCTATCTATGCTGGTCGTAATAGGAAAACAAAAGGATTGATTGGTCAGGCTCGCTGACTTGAACGATGCATGTCATCGTATACCAATTTGTAGGTCAATGCTCATTGGATTGTCTGGGCCAGACTCGTTTTCTTACAGACTGCTGTCACACAGCTGGAATATTGCTGAGTGCTGCGTCAAACAACAAACCAACAAAAAACATAATGCTCAGCATTCTCATGATAGTGTTTGTGGTCTAGTGGAGAGCATCTGCCCAGAGAGAGGAATTAAATGTTGTTACCCTGTCTGGCACTCAGCATTAAGGAGATAAAACAAGGACTGGCTGGCTCGGAGTCAGTATATGATATGCTAGTAACCATCATGGAGTAGATTGAGTGTTGGAATCAAGTCAAGAGTTTCTTGTATCCTATTTATTGAATTTTATTAGGGAAATAAATGTGCTTTGAGAGTTCACAGTTGAAAATACTACAGCAGAAAACTTCAAGCACCACGTCTTAGCATGCTTGGTCTTAATTTCAGGCACTAATACAGTCTGTGCCAAATACTTGTGTGTCTGCTAGCCCAAACTTGTACTTTGTATTTTCAGTGTATTTTTGGCTTAGTACATGGACTAGGATAAACCAATTTTTCAAGACCAGGATGTTTTTGTTACTAGACTTGGGCTTTGGAGTAGTGACTGCTACATAAACACATCTAACACTGAGAATAATCAAAGTAATAATTTAAATTATCATGCATTAAACGTATCCCATTGTGTCAGCATGGTCAGGTCACTAGGAACTATATCATCATCTGAAATGAAGCCTTTGACGTTAGCCTATTGTCCCAAAGCCCAAGTCTAGTAAAATTCTGTTTGATCTTGTGAGCTCAGCTAGTAATAGTCTAATAATCATGTAAAAGCAACCGATTTGGGACAACCATTGTCTGAATTAAAGACAATGGTTGTCCCAAATCAGTTGCTATGACAACCCCCCTCCGTTCTGTGAAGCATGGACCCAAAGCTTACGAACTTTTACACCAAAGGACATGAAGGAAACAACAGTGCAAATGAATACATAATCACTTAACATCAGTTCATGATATCGTTGGAAGCCTGGTGAAACATATATATCTATGCAATGATATGAAAGTGATCTTCTAGCCAGCTTGAATATTTACTTCCACAGGGTAATTACCCTGTAGCCATGATATGTATATGCTTTGAAACACTTAATTGACATTTTATGATTTATAAGATGCTAATCCCAAATTCCCCATTGTATTGTACATTGACTCTCTGCCATCCTGAACAAGATGTCTAACAATGTCACTGCTAAATTACTGTTGTTTATATTTATGACTTAATTCATGTCTGGTGACATTGGCTATACAGTAAACCATGGTTATAACGAACTCAAAGGGACCACTATTTTTAGTTCATTATAACTATGTGCTGACATTATCTACCTGAATGGAGTAAACTTGTATATACTGCAAGCCATCGTCTCCATGTTGTCACTTTCTGCCGAGGACCATACGCTGACCCCCTGCATATATACGAGTATGCAAATTATTCATTAGCAACGTCACGTGTGTCTGCAATGCACGTGCACCAACGTGTTGTAAATAATATCAAAATCTACAGAAAATGATTCTTATAACCAAGTTTGGCTAGTAGGCTTAATGGAGGGTGGCACCAACTGTAGAAAGTTATGAATGCAACAATATATTTTTGGAAACTCTGTTTGTTTGCTTGTTTGTTTCATAATGTGTTTTTTGGGTTTCAGGCAATCATGAGTACTATACAGGCGATGTAGACAACTGGTTCTCTCACCTCCGTGGTCTCGGTTTTATTGTGTTACACAATAGCAATGTCAGACTTCCCAGTGAGAAACTACCCACCAAACAACAAATATGCCTTGCTGGAGCAGATGATATCGATGCTTTAAGGATTGGGTAAGAGACAAATAAGAATGTTCTCATGCTAGTCAAAAGACAGGGAACTATGAGTACCTGCTCAGAGACCAATACCCAACACCACGTCTGCAGCAAATGGGGTTTGTGGGGTGGCCTGGTGGTTAAAGTGTTCGCTCGTCACGCCGAAGATCCAGGTTCGATTCCCGACTTGGGTACAATGTGTCAAGCCCATTTCTGGTGTCCCCTGTCGTGATATTGCTGGAATATTGCTAAAGGCGGCATAAAAACAATACTCACTCACTCTGTAGCAAATGTCAGCTACAATTCCCAAATAGGAATTGAAACTTATAAGTTATACATAGTTGAATGCAATGTTGAAATACCTCTGAATTGAACAAACTAAGAAACAAATCCTATGTTTGAACAACATGAAAATGTGTTTTCCAATGTGCCAGCCAAGAGCACTTAGTTTGGAATTCTAGATAAGTCCATGTAAGAACAGGATAACATGTGGAGGTTATTTGACCAAGCTGATTGTGTGTCATCGTGCCTTATAGCATGAATGGTTGCTCATGCTATCGACCACTTGTTTGGCTAGCCATGACCAATTAGTTTAAGGCCACAGTGATATGGGTGGAATACTGTCAACCACACACAAACCAGTTTACTCATTTATCTATGTGAAACATGAAAAAGTTACCGTGGATGTCAGTCACTGTCAGTAAACATTGGAAAAAACAAGACATGACACCATTTCCAAGAACCATTGTTGCAAACTTCTGATATCAATTCATCCAGTTTTGTTGCCAGCAGGAATGAAAACAACAAAATGGAAGTCATGGGTCTCTAACAAGTAAATAAACAGCCCAGTCTTGCTAAAATACAATGTAAGAACTACCGCCAATGTCAAAAGATAGGTGAAATAACACATGTGGGTATTGTGAAAGCTTGCAGATCTATTATGTTAATATTCAGGTACGGCAATCACGGGATGAGGCTGGATGATGCTCTGGGGTCATGTGATCAAAGTCAGCCAGTAATTCTTCTTGCCCATCAGCCGAAGGCGGCCAAGACTGCCCTGGACTCCGAATACAGAGTTGACGTCGTCCTCTCAGGTAGCCATTATTCAAAGCAGCAAGGAGCTGATCTTTCCATTTCCTGGGGTGGAGTGGGCTTTTCCTTTGAATGTCTAAAGTCTCCATGATGTTATTAGTTAAGATGGGAAATATCAGAAAGTGTCAGTGTGGTACAGGTATTGTCTCTCAAATTGTTTTGAAAGTTTTGATTTGCCAGTCAGTTGCTGAATTTCCATCCACAACCACAGATAATTCCATTCTACTAATGATTAAGTTACCTATATAATTTGACTAAAGGGAACAAGGAAAGGTTCTACCTACCGGTATGTGTTTTATCTACTTCAACATTTCCACTCATAAATGAAGACAAACAAAGATGGACACTGTCAGGACTCAGCAAAGCATCCTTTTCTCTACAGTTATCTGATTTCTGCTTGATTGGATTCAACTCTATACACATTTACTATGAGTGAGAGTACAGTAACTCTGTCACTCATATTCTTGCTATATTATCCTGACATTGCTTCACTGAACCCTGAACTTTATGACACTAGAGGCGTGTTAAGGAGGGTGGACGATCGCAATATAAAGCAAGCATGTGCGGTTGAACAAGGCTGACCGTACGATCGTACGTGTATACTAGCGATCAAGCCCAGGAGGTTTGCGTAGTAATCAAAGATGGCGTCGCACATTGTACAAATGTCTGCCTTTGACCGGAATTTAACCATTTTTTAAAGAATAATATGTTAGACTAGATCTACCACTCAAAAGCTTCATTGCCTTTTTAATATATTGACCCGTGAAGATCCAGATAGAAAATAGGACTTCAACAACTCATGTTTGCCGTAAGAGGCAACTATGCTTGTCATAAGAGGCCACTAATGGGATCGGGGGGGTAAGGCTCGCTGACTTGGTTTGATGCATGTCATCATATCCCAAATGCATATATCGATGCTCATGATATCAATCGCTGGATGTTCTGGTCCAGACCAGATTATTTACAGACTGCCATCATATAGCTGGAATATTGCTGTGTGCTGTGTAAACAACAAACAAACAAATATTTTCAATATAAAAATAAACTCTGAGATGCTGAGAGCGAAAACACTCCTTCCGTTCAGGAAAGATTCATGTTGCCTCACTGTAAGCTCGCATGATCGCCCGCCCTCCTGAACACGCCTCAGTAATATACGCCTTAGTCATTTGTTAGTACTTCGCACTTTCTTATCTATTACAGGTCACACTCATGGAGGACAGTTCTTCCCGGTGATTATTGGAGCCTATTTTCTTAACCCCTTCTTTTACGGACTGTATCGCTATGGGGAGTCCAGTCATGTGTATGTGTCGATGGGTACTCAGTATTGGGGTATCCCTGTCAGGATCGGAACAACAATGGAAGTCACAAGGATAATACTCACTCAGGCTCCATGACAAGTTATACATATATATGAATGGTTATATCTTTTCAGTTGATATAACATGAATAAACTATGGAGAATTGTGCACTTAGGAAAGTGGAATTGCAAGTATTTGTTTTCATGTTTGCACACTTAACCATCGTTAAAGATAACCATGTCAGATTCTATTTATGTAGTTATTAGGCCATCTTGTGTTTCTCAGTCAATGCTCAGGTTCAGAGGGAGTGGTCGGTTTGGATGAAAATAATAGTCCATATATTTACATTGAAATCAACTGAGTATAATGCTTTGAGACAATTATGAACAAGTAGATGCAGAAATGTTTGGCACAGACTCTTTTTGGCTCTCTGTAGTACTGTCGTACATTTTACAACCAGTAGAGATTTGACATAATGTCATTTGTACAATTGTGTTACAAATGCCATTACTCCTAACAATATGGATGATATGACACCTCACATGACATTACACATGCCATTATATTCCACCATTGTTTATATATTGAAGATGACATTAAAATGATTAAATTGTTACAATACTTAAGGCATTATATTAGCCAGGTAATATCACATTGCTTTTCTTATCATATTGCATTTTGTGACTTTGACATTAAATGTAACTTGCCATTGCACTACAAACTATGTCGGCCATGAGGATATATTTAATATGACAATTGACACATAACATTGGTTTCTGGGTTTGTCAGCACCATACCCGTGCTCATTGGTTTCACCAAAGTGGTAAACGTCTGAGACCTGCATCACTTCAGGCTTTCCTCCCACATTAAGCTGACACGCCATGATATAACTGGAATAATGTTAAAAGCGGCATTAAACCCCAACTCACCCACACTACATTGATTACATTGTCAGATTATACCAATCTCATTCAAACCTTTACCTCTGATATGATACCTCTCTGCATAAAGATCTCTGACAACAGCTCCATAGAGAACACATCAGGTTAACCCTGAGCCAATTTTGACAGCCCAATCCCAAAGATGTGTGAGCTCTTGAGCCATTCACATTTTTAGGCTGGTCCTTAGGAAAATGTTATTCATAACAAAAGAAAATCCACACTGGACACAGATATTCCTTCAATGGTACTTCCTTGTGGCTGTAGATGTTGTGGCTTATAGAAACAAGGTTAATGTATCCACACTATAATGGTGCAGCCTTTATTATTTACTTTTGGAACTGGTTGTTTCAGTTCATTTTTTAGATAAAGAAGTCGGATATGCTGCTCATTTGTACTGAGAATTTAGAATTCTCAACACTGACTGACTGACTGACTGACTGACTGACAAGAAAGTTAACCTCTAAGATTGAGAATGTTTGAAGCCCAAAATCAGGGTTGAGCATACGATTGCGACTGTATCATGAGCATTGTTTGTGAATTCCTATCAACTAGTGATGATACCAGGTGTTCATGAAAAGACGAGCATATCCTGCCTCTCCAATGGCATGTTAAGGCAAAGTCAGTTGTTCACTTTAAAAAGACACGAGAACGGGAAAGTCAATATAGGGAATAACATTGGACTGATGCATAAATTTGGAAATGTCCAAACAAGTATTTTCATGTAAGAAGTTTCATGTTTGATGATAGAATTTCCTGTGTTTGATCTCATACAACATATATCTGTGAACCATTTCGTTTGATTATTCATTCCATTTTGAATCTATTTTTATACTATATTATCATGAAGATTTGTTTATTTGCTGAGAATATTTGTAATTCACATTCAGCTCCAAGTTTTTAGAAATTGTGGAAAACCGTTGCATTGTTGCACATAAAATATTGTATAATTGTTTAATGTGTTTTAGCAACACTTATCAATATCCTTGCACAATGCTAGATGAACATGTTGAAGGAGATACCTAGATGTTAGCCTGTGTTTTGTAACTAAGGGTTTTCTATGGGACATTCATTGTCATATTTTCATATCTTTGCATTAATATCTTTTTTTTCTCATTCATAACTCTGAACCTTTTTTTAATAATATAAGCCAATTGGCTTAAAAAAAACAAAAAACGTTTAGTGTTTTGAATGAGACAAAAAAATCTTACATGTAATAAGTTACTGATAAATTACTGTCCAAGCATTGACTTCTTATCTGGAACAGAATATGTTGAAGAAAGGTTTAATGTCTATGGTGGAATGTGGTCCTGTTTACTGCACACAGGTCACAATTCAGAGAAGTAAAGCAGGGTTGATCACAGAGAGTAGTTGGATGGTGAACGTGTTCGGCAGCGTGACTCCTGAGAGTTTTAAGGGGTTCCGTCCTGCTGCACACTGTACCCAGCAGTGGATGGGAAGCCAGTAGAGCAGAATGTTAATGTGACCATTAACCTTCTTGTGCCTTATATGGCAGCATGGGTTGTATATTCCATAGCGGGCTGAGAATGAAATTTGAGTGCAAAATGATCCCAAAACGGGTAATATCAGATTTACTAAAAATGTAAAGTCACACAAACATGAAATAGTATTTGATTTATCTTGAAAAGTTGTCAATAGTCAATGACATGCAAAATTTAATAAGGTTACTTCTACAAGTTACTTGGACTAAAATGTACAATTACGTTTTACCCTGAAAGTTGATATTAGAGCATAAACAGGTAATATAATATATGTATACTACTCAAAACAAGTTAACTGGAAGGCTGTGTATTGCAATACCCACCAGCCATGACAGATTAACCACAGTCTTATGACGAACATTGGGTGTTCATTAACTTGACTTATTTAAATAGCCATTTTCCCAATTGCTCTGCCATTTCTGCATGTATCGTTATTACATTGCTATGCAGTACGTATGTGGTTTGCTGAATAACACATGTTGTAATTGTCTGTGTATTGTGATATTCAGCCATGGATCTCCATGTTAACTGCTGTGGTTGCCAATTGTGCATTGGCAGTCATGATGAACATGTAGTATTGGCCACCTACACAGCCAGTTGTTCATGTACCACTGTGCAATATTATGAACATGCTGTGAGGATGTCTGATGGGTAGAAACTTTCTGTTGCTTATTCTTTTTTACTGTTGTATGACCTTTTTGATCTATGTTACATTCCAGAAAAAAAGTACAGAGCCTTGTGGATATACCTTTGCTTTTCTTCATTGAAACTGACAGGTCTATTTATGTTGTATGACACAGGTATCTCACCATCCTCGCGTTACGATGTGTATAATACTTACCTCACTTGACAATCACTTGATTATCCCCCACCACCAAGTGGAGTGAGTAGTATGGGCCTGGGCTCTGTCAGCCTGACTTCAATGTTTTCCTGAAAGTGCTATGGATACAAGGATGATAACTTGTACACATCATAAAGGAATAGAACATGTTGAATGAGTGAAAGCCATCTTTTAGACATTCATGCTATACAGTGCTGGGCCTAGGGCTCTTGTTCGATCTTTTGAACATGGTGCACAGTCCTGCCAGTTCCTCGGTAACCACTACAGATTACGTCACTAAGTGATGAATATGTTATTAAGTTTGAAAACCGCCATCAAGAATTAATATTGTACAGAATTATGTCCTTTGTTATATTTGTTTTTGTGTTTGCTCAAATGATAATAGGGTTTTATTTCTAAAGAAAATATTTAAACCGTTTCATATATCTTCATGAAACAGGCAAGTACTCATGCCCCCCCTTTCACTACGACCACGAATATCCCGAATCACTCCGAATCGGAAACTTTCAAAATTTGTGATGATTCGGCCAATAATGCAAACTTTCGGGTTGAAAAATATGAAGAATGCCAGGAATGGGTTAAGAAACATGTACGATTTAAAAGATTCATGTAGGGATCATGCACGAATTGTAAGAATCACCTACGACTAAGTTACGAATATGCTGAAAGTTGTTCTTACTTAATTCTTTCGTTTACGATGTTTACGGGTTGAGGACAAGACATTTTGGGAGCCACGAATCGTTAAGAATAGCCAAGACTGCAAAAGAATCTGTTACGAAGCTGTTACGGAACATAAAAATTAATTACGAATGGATTACGATACAGCCACAAAATTGCAATCCGGGGACCCTTCCATGAAAGTTTTTGACAAACGAAAACCTTCTCGACCATTCGACGAACTCCCGCGAACTGAACGAATGTTTGGGAATCAAATAAGATTAATTTAAGAACTTCAGGAAATGATTGAGATTTACCTACGAACATGAAAAATTTCCTATTCGGGATATTAGTAGTCGCAGAGAAAGTATTAACTGGTGACCTTGATATTTCACTGTTTTATACATTTTTATCTCTTGTTCTTCCCAAACAAGTTCAAATAAAATTAGGGTACTGGTGTTCATTTGTTTCTGGTGCCAATTGTTTAATTATTTGAAATTATTGAAATTGCAAAAGTAATTGGCTTGTTAGGACTGTTGCCTATCCATGCTGCCTTTGCAATCTTTGTGTTAATCTTGTTTGGTTTTTTTATTTTGTGGTTTATCAATGACATGACCTTCACTGCTGATGTCTGCTGATAGAGACTTTTCAATCAATGTGTCAAGAGGGATCACATGCACCAGTATAGGTACACATTGATTCTGTGATGAATGAGGCCCTGGATGTTGTGGCAAGTTGTCCCTTGTCTGTTGTTTTTTACATTTCAAAATCACCATTTTGAATTCAGTGAGCACTTAAAAACATACCATTATTTTCTCTGAAGGGAGGTGACAATATTTGGCCCCCCACGTCGTTGTTCATAGCTTCCAGCATGTGCAGTAAATAATTTAATTTTTGTGTAAAACATAAGGGAAATTTAAATTTTCTGTCATTTTCAGGAACAGATGATCTAAAATTGGGGTCAAACCGTACTCACTCACATTTTGCATGATATGGAATGACTAATTACTTGTGGCCCTCAGAATGAACAGGCAATGGTCTTGTACCAAATGTCCACCTGTATTTATGTAATCTTCCAACATTTATCAAATGATGTCAATTTCAAATGTAGATAAGGTTCCTAGTGAATGAAAATAAATGTGTGCAGCTTAACTGTTTTCCAGGTGTATATCAATACTTTATTTTGGTTTTAAGCTAAAAAAAGAACAATGCAGGTTAGCTACAGCTTCATGGTTGTGAATGTTACTGTTGCATAGTCTCCTTATACATTGATCATGTTGATATGAAATATATTTTAGTATATGATGTATCCGTATGAATGGTTTGTTAACACTTGTGTAATCTTGTTTTGCTCATTGTTAGAGATTTTTGTCTGGCATATTATGATTGATTTCAATGCAATTTTACACCACCTCAATGATGAATTTTGATTTATTCTTTTTGACAGTTAACATGAATGAGATCACTTTTCCCGGATCAACCCCCTTTCACCTTCCCTTCAAGGCTGTGAAGGGAACAAACAAACAAAACGATGCTTGGATAGCCATTCAAATGCCACGGAATCACTTGCTATTTATGTATTTGATAGTAAACATCCCAGTTTTGATTGACCTTGACCATAAATAGAAATGAACCGTTATCTAATCCAATGGAAACCTAGCCGTAGAAATAAATCAGGTCAAAATTTATAAATATTTAGTGCTGAGAACTGGTTATAATTTCAAGATTGATCGTTGTTTTAACAAAATGACCTATGATTGTTTTGTGATCAATGGAATTTGGAGCATTCTTTCTCTATATCCTTCATATAAATAGCAGTTGTTAAGATACTGTAGTTATGATATTTACCTACACTCAACAACACGCCTGCCATGAAACACTGCCTCAACAACAGGCTATATATACAATATTGTCGGTGTTAGAATTTTAGACGGTTATATTTAACTATATGTATCTTTTCTCCCCAATTTTACAACCTAATTAACCTAATTTTTACAAACTTCCCTGACCTGAATATATCGGGAAATGCATAGTCAGAATAGGCTAGTTATAGACATTGGTATCAATACCAACACCATGGTAGGGTAAATCTGGCCAAACTCCGTGTTACAACTGGGGCATCCTCGACAACAGCAGCCACAATTCATGGACCAGGCCGCGTTGAATTTCTTTCCAGAGGCAGGCCTCGGAGACGGCCTGTCATAGGTGGTGTTTCGATGCAATGTCTTCAACGGTGATGTCACTGGTGTCAAGCACGCCAATAATGACTTAACCAGCAATTGAGCTAGTATGGTTCAGCGACTATAGAAGTGCCAATAAGTACCGACGTTACCATGTCCATATTTGTCGGTGGCAGCGTAATGATGCTTTGAAAACATCCCACAGTGGTATGGCAAATCTGGTGCAAGGAAACGTAACAGCCCTCCAATCGTTATTCATCAATGGAATACCAGATTTGAATATTGCTAACAACAACAAAAACTATCACATGTGGTGAATTTGAGTAATTTGATTTGATTTTCTCCATCTTCCCGAGGCAAGTGAGTTAACTGACTATAAAAGTGCAGTTTCCACCCTTGCCGAACTAGGCTGATGTTATTGAGTTACATTTTGGCTGGACAAACGAGTCTATACATAATCAAATCAAATTCGCGCAACGAAATCGAAATCCGGTTCGTAAACTGTCATGCAGATTTCGATCGATTGCAGGATTTGCAACCGCCAACTCGTTTTCAACAGATATTTTCTAATTATTTTCATGTTTTTTTTATCAAGGTGCTCACTTTATTTTATGCACTTCGCGATGTAATACTCGTTTTATCACAATATAGATCGTGATTATCGATCAGATTGTCTTGACTGGACGCAGCCATTTTGTTTTAAGCAAATGCAAGTGATATGAGAGGTGGAATCTGATTGGTCCATAGGAGAGGCATAGAAGGGGCATAACTCGTAATAGCCACTGGTGGCGCTACGATCGAGCCCAGGAATTCCAGACGAGTTCGGCAAGGGTGGAAACTAGACTGTTAAAGTCAGTTAACTCTCTTGCCTCGGGAAGATGGATTTCCGCCGACCAAGAGGCAAATGAGCAGCAGTTAAATAAACACCCAGAACAAGCTAACAGATACACGCACACAATGGTTCACACATTCAGGAACATAGACCTCAAATAAAAGACTCATTCTTGAATACACATGCTTACGCACAAACCTCGACCTGCTCAAAGTCAAGTATACACTCGCGCGCCCCAACATTCACCATCCAATCACTTACACACGCTCACACACTCGGACTTAAAAAAGGATAAGGAGTCTAAGAGAAGATATTCCTTAAGAACGTGGCGGCTCTCGTCAGCGCCTGTCTAAAGGAATTAATTTCTCTGTCCTACCCGAGGCTGTAGTCATCGTCGTCCTCGTACACCCAGTAGTCACTGTAATCGTCGTCACTTTGGGCAGGGTAGTGGTTGACGTAGGTGATGGTGTCAGGGGCGGGGAGGAACACGCCGTAGACAGAGAGACTGCCTCCGTGGTCTAGTGGTAGAGCGGAAGGTCCGGGGTTCGATCCCCGACCGCGTCATACCAAAAGTGAGTGAGTGAGTGAGTATGGTTTTACGCCGTTTTTAGCAATATTCCAGCGATATCACGACGGGGAACACCATAAATGGGCTTCACACATTGTACCCATGTCGGGAATCGAACCCGGGTCTTCGGCGTGACGAGCGAACGCTTTAACCACTAGGCTACCCGACCGCCCCCATACCAAAAGACGTTAAATGATGGTACTTGTTGTTACCCTGTCTGGCGCTCGGCATTAAGGGGCTAAAACAAGGACTGGTCGTCTCGGAGTCAGCATACTGTGTCTGAGTGGGGTATTCATGTTAAACTGCGGCATGGTATCTCAGTGAGCTAGCACTATAATTCGGCATCAGTCCGGACTAGTACAAGCAGCCACACACACACACGTGCATGCACGTCGCTATATAAGTGCAATAATCTTGGACGCGACGTTAAACCCCAATTTCACCTCACCCGTAGACAGAGCAGGCCCAGAACGGCGTGAAGACTCATGGAGTCGGGAGAACATGTTCATGATGTTAATCACTGGATTGGCTGGCCCAGGCTCGATTATTTATAGACCGCCGTTATGCAGCTTGAATATTACACAAGTAAACAAACAAAATCATTACTATTTAGGATGCCTCTGAAACGCCACTGAACTTAAAAGGTTCCATATGTCGTCGTTCAGATTGAGGTTTTACGTTCGTGTTCGAAAGGTGCTTCAACACACAGCACCTCAGCATCAGTGTTGTTTACTTTACTATATTTTATAATTAATTTTATTTTGAATATATTCAGCACATTATTCCAGTATTATTTGTCAGGACCAAATGACAAAAACAAAGGTGACAACCAAAGAGATTAAATGTCCTACTGTAACATTCTTGCCTAAAAAATACACAATCTTTTTACACCACTTTGCAAATAACAGTTCGCTTCGCAAATCTCACAGGGATTCATTGATTCATTGATTCATTTAACAAAGACGTTACAGGTTGTTTACATGTACACTTTACGACCACTGCAGGTTTAAGAGCTCTTCAAATCGTGTGATAAAGTGTCGGACGATGTAGTACACACGTTGGATAATGTGAGAAGTTGTTCAGGCCATTTTCCGTTAACTGTATCCTGTTGTTGTGCATCCATGCATGCCATACAAATAGATCAGAAATGACCAACTCTGCCAGATCTTCAGCAGTTGGTTTTTCCTGTCTGTTTCATATACTGTATCTAATTGTTCGGTTGATTTCGCTGTATACTTTGGTGCCAAAAGGCCTGTATATAAAAATATGTTGGTGATTAACGTATCAGGGAAAGGGAACAACAGTAAACGGGGTCTGTCGACGAAGCCGTCGTCGAACATTTAACTGAATTTTGTACTTCTTGTCTCACTTGACCTCATGTTCCCGATCGATGTGTAGCGTCCCGAAGATGTCCCCTAACCGTTCTCCTGACCCCGCGAGTGACTTCACTCCCCCTGGGCCTGCTCTGTCTACGGCGTGACGCCCATCGCCCCAGACACCATCACCTACGTCAACCACTACCCTGCCCCAAGTGATGACGATGACAGTGACCAGCTTTGTGGAGGACAGGGAGATTAATTCCTCCAGAAAGGCGCTGACGAGAGCCGCCACGTTCTTAAGGAATATCTCCTCCAAGTCTCCCTATCCTTTTTTCATGTCCAAGTGAGTGAGCGTATGTAAGTGATTGAATGCATGAATGTGGGGCGTGCCAGTGTATACTTAACTTAGAGCCGGTCGAGATAGGTTTGTGCGTAATCATGTGCATTCAAGAATGAGCCTTATATTTGAGGTCTTTGTTTCTGAATGTGTGCACCATTGTGTGCGTGTTATAGAGAGATTCACTATTTAAGCTTTTAACCATATTTTTAGACAGCAGCTCGGCTCATCTTTCATTTTTGGTAAATACTCTGGCTGCCTTTTGGTATAATTGACAGCAATCTGTATTCGCAGTATCCTATTCTGACTATTACTGCACCGTTTTCAATCCCTTTTCAGGCAACTTTCGATTCTCAACACCTTAATAAATGTTTCCATACTGAAAACACAATATTTGTTTTCACTACTGAGTTCCTTCTTCAGAGCTTATAATGACTAGAAGACTGCAACATCGCATTATAGACAACTGGCCAAATCCCCAGGCCTCTGATCTGGACACTAAAGTTACTTTAACGATAAAGGTATTTCTTTATGTGGCGACAGTTGTGAACTTGTGACACTGGTCTCTTACCTTTGACCCTGTCATTCAGTAGTGTATACTATCCTGGAGGATCGGTTCAAAAACCTGTTGGCCTTTCCGGCCCAGTGTCACATCAGGGCTTTGAAACCCGAAACTATTACACAAGTAGATACAATTACTTCACTTGTATGCCAACAGTACATTTCATGAAACGTGCCACTCTTCAAGTGATGATTCTCTTAACTCAACACTGGTTGTGTGAACAGTCATTTGAGACTGATGTCACCTACGCTGGTTGTTCTGGGTGTTTATTGAACTGCTGCTCATTTGGCTGGTTGCTCGTGGGAAATCAAATCAAATTACTCAAATTCACCACATGATAGTTTTTGTTTGTTATTAGCAATATTCAAATCTAGTATTCCATAGATAAATAACGGCTGGAGGGCTGTTACGTTTCCTTGCACCAGGTTTGCCATATCACTGCGGGATGTTTTCAGAGCACATCATTACGCTGCCACCGACAACTATTGACATGGTTACGCCGGTAGTTACTGGCTCTTCTATAGTGGCTTGACCACACTCTCTCCATTGTTGGTAAGGTCATTATTGGCGTGCTTGACACCACTGACGTCGCTGTTGAAGATATTGCGTGGAAACACCACCTTTGACAGGCCGTCTCCGAGGCCTGCCTCTGGTAATAAAATTCAGCGCGGCCTGGTCCATGAATTGTGGCTGCTGTTGTCGAGGATGCCCCTGTTGTAACAGGGTGTCGGCCAGATGTACCATACCATGGTGTTGGTATTGATACCAACGTTTATAACTACTCTATTCTGACTATGCATTTCCCCGATATACTAGTATTTAGGTCAGGGATGTTTGTAAAAATTAGGTTAATTAGGTTGTAAAATCGGGGAGAACAGACAGACTGTTAGCAATGACTGGACTAGGTGTGCATTACCTTGGATTTTTGTACACTTAAACTAACGTGACAACCGCACGTGTCTTTTTCTAAATGTATTTTTGAGTAAGGTCATTATCTGGTGTATTTATTATCCCCCCATTTATGTTTTCATGACAAGTTGGACTTTATAATCACTGAAAATGAGGGAAGTGCTCGTTTCCGGAACAGAACTCTAAAACTGTTTAATATTTCCAGATGAAACTTGCTGGTTTGTTTGTTGTTTAACGCCGCACGGAACAATATTGCAGCAAAATGACGGCAATCTGTCCATAATCGAGTCAGGACCAGACAATCCAGTGCCCGATACCATGCTGTCGGGTACGATGAATTGCAATCATCCAAGTAACGTGTCTGACCACTGATCCATTGAGTCTCTTCTTACAACCAGCTGATGTTGCCTGGACCAATTCTAACCTTGAACCCTGATGGTATCTCCTTCAACATGTTCATCTAGCATGGCGCAAAGAATATTAATAAGGGTTGCTGAAACACATTAAACAATTATACAATATTTTATGTGCAACAATGCAACTGTTTTCAACAATTTCTAAAAACTTGGAGCTGAATGTGAATTACAAACATTCTCAGCAAATAAACAAATCTTCATGATAATATAGTATAAAAATAATTTTAAAATGGAATGAATATTCAAACGAAATAGATCACAGATATGATATGTTGTGTGAGATCAAACACTGGAAATTCTATCTTTGTTCATAGTGAGATTTGGCTGGATGGTGCCTCTGCGGGCAGGACATCCAATCCAAATTACATTGCTGTATATCTGATGCCTTATTACAATGGATCTCTGAATATTCAATGATTGAGACAACCCACCACAGAATCGAGACCTGCCTCAGATACATTATCTCATTCAAATCACATCTGTAACTCTGATACAATACTTATTTGTGTGAAGATCTGACAACCCATCCAAAAGAGGTTACATCAGGTGAACTTTCTAGTCCGTCAGTACTGAGAGTTCTCAATTCTCAGTACAAATGAGCAGCATATCTGACTTCTTTATTTTTAAAATGAACTGAAACAACCAGTTCCAAAAGTATATAGTGTTATATAGTATTATAGTGTGGATACATTAACCTTATTGTTTCTGTAAGCCACAACATCTACAGCCACAAGGAAGTACCATTGAAGGAATATCTGTGTCCAGTGTGGATTTTCTTTTGTCATAAAAAAATATTTTCCGAAGGGATGTACCCTGATCATTTTAATGAAATGAAGGGATGTAGCCTAAAAATGTGAATGGCTCAAGAGCTCACACACCTTTGGGATTGGGCTGTCAAACTTGGCTCAGGGTTTACCTGATGTGTTCTCTATGGAGCTGTTGTCAGAGATCTTTATGCAGAGAGGTATCATATCAGAGGTAAAGGTTTGAATGAGATTGGTATAATCTGACAATATAATCAATGTAGTATGGGTGAGTGGGGTGAGTTGGGTTTAACGCCGCTTTTAACATTATTCCAGTTTTATCATGGCGTGTCAGCTTAATGTGGGAGGAAAGCCCGAAGTGATGCAGGTCTCAGACGTTTACCACTTTGGTGAAACCCATGAGCACGGGTATGGTGCTGACAAACCCAGAAACCAATGTTATGTGTCAATTGTCATATTAAATATATCCCCATGGGCGACATAGTTTGTAGTGCAATGGCAAGTTACATTTAATGTCAAAGTCACAAAATGCAATATGACAAGAAAAGCAATGTGATATTACCTGGCTAATATAATGCCTTAAGTATTGTAACAATTTAATCATTTTAATGTCATCTTCAATGTATAAACAATGGTGGAATATAATGGCATGTGTAATGTCATGTGAGGTGTCATATCATCCATATTGTTAGGAGTAATGGCATTTGTAACACAATTGTACAAATGACATTATGTCAAATCTCTACTGGTAAAATGTACCGACAGTACTACAGTGGTCCAAAAAGAGTCTGTACCACACATTTCTGCATCTACTTGTCTGTACTTGTATCAAGGCATTATGCTCAGTTGATTTCAATGTTAATATGTGGACAATATGAGCTGTGGTGCATAATAATCTTCAACAAAACATCATTTACCTATGGTATAATGTGTATGTAGTTATATCAGAACAAAATAAGGCCATCTGAGTTTAGTTGTGTTTCTCACATCCACCAGTCCTAAATTACCCTTCTCATATCTGCTCATTGGCTGCTGTGTTTTATTGTGAGGACATTTAAAGAAGGGAAGTAACTGTGACTATTTTTCTTTTCCCTGTTTTCAGAGCTCTTAAACACTTCCTCCTTAAAACCTCTCAATGCCAATACAGCAACTGTTGTATTTTGAATATCATAATATCATATAATAGAGGAGCATATTATTTACATATATTCAAAAGCAGACAACTTATCAGTTGTATTTTCTACCGGCTCAACCAAAGGCTGTTTATTTATTCATTTTCTTCCAAACAACTGCACCCTCTCAACCTGAGCATTGACTGAGAAACACACATGATAACATAGATGGCCTAATAATTACATTTATCATACCTCCATGTCAGAATGATGAGATCTGATTGGTCCTCATGATCTTGATAAAATACTTGGAGGGTAATACATTTCGCAGCGGGGGAATAAATCTTGTATACCCCGCCACATATACCTTGGCTCGTGGTATAAAACCTATAAAACCCCATGTAGCCCGAGTGATATTGCTGCAACTTATGATATAGAATCTGACATGGCTCTACAGATTGGTTACAGGTGCCATCTTTAACAATGTTTTAAGTGTAACAACATAAAAACACATATTTGTAATTCCACTTTCCTAAGTGCACAATTCTCCATATTTTATTCATGTTATATCAACTGAGTGAGTGAGTATGGTTTTATACCACTTTTAGCAATATTCCAGCAATATCACGGCGGGGGACACCAGAAATGGGCTTCACACATTGTACCCATGTCGGGAATCGAACCCGGGTCTTCGGTGTGACGAGTGAACGCTTTAATCACTAGGCTACCCGACCGCCCCTTATATCAACTGAAAAGATATAACCATACATATATATGTATAACTTGTCATGGAGCCTGAGTGAGTATTATCCTTGTGACTTCCATTGTTGTTCCGATCCTGACAGGGATACCAAAATACTGAGTACCCATCGACACATACACATGACTGGACTCCCCATAGCGATACAGTCCGTAAAAGAAGGGGTGTAAAAAATAGCTCCCAATCATCACCGGGAAGATCTGTCCTCCATGAGTGTGACCTGTAATAGATAAGAAAGTGCCAAGTATGAAGGAATACATTAGTGAGGCGTGTTCAGGAAGGTGCACGATTGTGCGAGCGTACAGTGAGGCAATATGAGTCTCTCTTGAACGAAAGGAGTGTACTCACTCTCATGGAACAGCATCCAACATGGCGTCGCCGGGGATTAAAACAGCCCCATCCACAAGTGTTACTGGTTCACACATTTATCATTCCATCACAAGTATGATGGGTTCTTACTTTGATGCTCATGATAACAAAGAGGGCGATCATACTTAATTTGTATAGAGTTGAATCCAATCAAGCAGAAATCTGGAGAGAAAAGGATGCTTTGCTGACTACTGACAGTGTCCATCTTTGTTTGTCTTCATTTATGAGTGGAAATGTTGAAGTAGATAAAACACATACCGGTAGGTAGAACCTTTCCTTGTTCCCTTTAGTCATATTATATAGGTAACTTAATCATTAAGTAGAATGGAATTATCTGTGGTTGTGGATGGAAATTCAGCAACTGACTGGCAAATCAAAACTTTCAAAACAATTTGAGAGACAATACCTGTACCACACTGACACTTTCTGATATTTCCCATCTTAACTAAAAACATCATGGAGACTTTAGACATTTAAAACAAAAGCCCACTCCACCCCAGGAAATGGAAAGATCAGCTCCTTGCTGCTTTGAATAATGGCTACCTGAGAGGACGACGTCAACTCTGTATTCAGAGTCCAGGGCGGTCTTGGCCGCCTTCAGCTGATGGGCAAGAAGAATTACTGGCTGACTTTGATCACATGACCCCAGAGCATCATCCAGCCTCATCCCGTGATTGCCGTACCTGAATATTAACATAATAGATCTGCAAGCTTTCACAATACCCACATGTGTTATTTCACCTATCTTTTGACATTGGCAGTAGTTCTTACATTGTATGTTTACTGATAGTGCCTGACATCCACAGAAACTTTTTCATGTTTCACATAGGTAAATGAGTAAACTGGTTTGTGTGTGGTCGACAGTATTCCACCCATATCACTGTGGCCTTAAACTAATTGGTCATGGCTAGCCAAACAAGTGGTCGATAGCATGAGCAACCATCCATGCTATAAGGCACAATGACACACAATCGGCTTGGTCAAATAACCTCCACATGTTATCCTGTTCTTACATGGACTTATCTAGAATTCCAAACTAAGTGCTCTTGGCTGGCACATTGGAAAACACATTTTCATGTTGTTCAAACATAGGATTTGTTTCTTAGTTTGTTCAATTCAGAGGTATTTCAACATTGCATTCAACAATGTATAACTAATAATTTTCTAATTCCAACCTGCGAATTGTAGTCGACATTTGCTGCAGCTGTGGTGTTGGGTATCAGCCTCTGAGCAGGTACTCATAGTTCCCTGTCTTTTGACTAGCATGAGAACATTCCCATTTGTCTCTTACCCAATCCTTAAAGCCTCAATATCATCTGTTCCAGCAAGGCATATTTGTTGTTTGGTGGGTAGTTTCTCACTGGGAAGTCTGACATTGCTATTGTGTAACACAATAAAACCGAGACCACGGAGGTGAGAGAACCAGTTGTCTACATCGCCTGTGTAGTACTCATGATTGCCTGAAACCCCCAAAACACATTGTGAAACAAACAAACAAGCAAACAAACAGAGTTTCCAAATATGTATTGTTGCATTCATAACTTTTTATAGTTGGTGCCAACCATTTTTAAATCTACTTGCTGAACCTGGCTATAAGCATCATTTTCTGTAGATTTTGATGTTATTACTAGACTATTACCATGATTACTAGCTGGGCTCACTAGACCAAACAGAATTTTATGAGATTCGGGTTTTCGGACAATTGGTTAAACTCAAAGACTCGTCACATTTTCAGATGATGACGTGGTTCCTGGTGAAATGACCATGCTGATACAATGGGATAAGTTTAATGCATGATAATTTAAATTATTACTTTGATTATTCTCAGTGTTTATGTAGCAGTCACTACTCCAAAGCCCAAGTCTAGTAACAAAAACATCCTGGTCTTGAAAAATTGGTTTATCCTAGTCCATGTACTAAGCCAAAAATAAACTGATAATACAAAGTACATGTTTGGGCTAGCAGACACACAAGTATTTGGCACAGACTGTATTAGTGCCTGAAATTAAGACCAAGCATGCTAAGACGTGGTGCTTGAAGTTTTATGCTGTAGTATTTTCAACTGGGAACTCTCAAAGCACATTTATTTCCCTAATAAAATTCGGAACAATAAATAGGATGCAAGAAACTCTGACTTGATTCCAACACTCAATCTACTCCATGATTGTTACTGTAGTACTCACGGAAATGAAAAAAACAACTGTTAATATACAAAATATATAAATATTCAAACAACTCAATTAGTACTAATTGGGCCTTGGCACAAATACAGCGTATCAAAGGTTTTTAGGTCTTTTTACACGTAAAAGTGTGTAAAAATATGAACAAAACAGACTATTGTGAAACTGAGCATAACCAGGTGTTAGTAGATCAAGGTGAATGTCCATGACCTATGACACCTTGATGACAGGTGAAAACAGGTGCTTGAAACCCACATGCATGTGATTTGTCAGTGGTTAGTGATTTGTGAGTGGCATTGTGGGATAGTGAATCATCGTCAAAATATCAGAACGTAAAAGTAACATATTCCCTTCTCAAACAACAACTTACATGTCATTATTATTATGTACATAAACATAGCTATTATTTTTATTGTTGTTTTGATAAAAAAAAATCCAGGCTAATTTGCATAATGCCTATAGCCTGTTTCTGCCATGTCAATTTGGACTTAGTTTTATTTTTGAATGTTGAAAGTGCCTACAAATTACCTCCTGTAAAGTACATTTTGTATTGGGCACTGAGATAAAAGTAGCAAGTCCAGACTAGTACTTTTCCAGTTGTTTTGTTATTTCGTATTTACATCTACGTAATGTTTTGTGTCGATTATTAAATCCAGCAAAACGATTTTTTTTCATTTCCATGAGTACTTTAGCACTGACTCCAAGCCAGCCAGTCCTTGTTTTATCTCCTTATTTATATTAAATGCTGAGTGCCAGACAGGGTAACAACATTTAATTCCTCTCCCTGGGCAGATGCTCTCCACTAGACCACAAACACTATCCTGAGAATGCTGAGGTAGCTGGGGACCAATTCTAACTCGGAATCTTCACAGGATTCTGAGCATTATGAGGTTATCATTATTTTAGTGTGGTTCTATTAGCGGTGTCATTGGTTGGAAAATTTAGTATCGATATATCGATATTAATGTTAACATAATACAGTCAAGTCCAGTTAATCCGACATGGCTGCTTGCATATGATTATGCCGGATTAACAAGTATGTCGGATAAACAAAATTAAGTAGTACCAACGTTCGTCTGTCATAGTTCGCGAAAGGTACTTTTGACGTGACCTGTAATGGGATTTCCTCCATGTATATCAATATATCAATTAACAACAAACATGACAAAAGTAGTTATTCTGTATCAAAATATGGTCATGTCTGAGGCAGGGAATCAATAATTTAGTATGGATATTCAAAAACTTGTATTGATACAGAATTGACATTTAACTTTTCATCATGACATAGGATGACACCCCTTGATGTAACTGAGGTTTTTCAAGCAATTTACATGTTTCACATATTGTACACAGAGCCATTTAAACCAAGATCTTCATTACCAGGGACTGACTGAGTTTGGTTAATCACTTTGAAAAGTATTTTCAGTTCTATGGCAGCTTGATGTGCAAGGAAATTATGAAGTGATGCAGATCTTAGATGTCCACCACTTTAGTGAAACCCACAAGCAAGGGTATGATGTTGACCTAGAAACCAGGTTTGCCTATCCGAGGAAGTTAACTCTGCACAAGGAATTCAGGCAACCTTTGATGACAGTGCCAACCAATGCCCCTTCTTTGTCGTTAATTTGATTAACATAATTAAGAGTCAACACTTTAACCTCCAGGCTACCCCACATGCAAACATGTGTAAAATACATATGCATGAGAACAGTTGAATTTGAAGAAAACACTAAACTGATATAGACAAAATACATTGTAATAAAGAAAAGTCACAAACATACAAACTGCACCTGTTATAAAATATTTCCCAAATTTGGACTGAATATCCTTAACAGGTTCTACTGCTTCCCTGAGGCTTACAACGCTTCCATCGACAAGATCTCCAGTCATCACAACAACATCTGAAACCATAAGAAAGCATGCCAACATTAAAAGCTCAAATGTCTCCTTGAACATGTTGAATACAGGGTCAACCATTTTGCAAATATTAGAAAATAATTTATGACATTTACAGTCATGCAATATACATGTACCAGGAATACACATGACAAAGTTGTTTGATTCACTCAACTTTGAACTGACCAAAAGTGGTATTTGTGTTATATATGTATGGAGAAAAATGTTGAATACCATTTTTCTCTCTACATAAACTTGATTAACATGTCAACATCTGTGGCATCAGAAGGTTTATAAGTATCCAGCAAAATGATGCATTTATGGTCTTTAGACTCAGTTGTTGAGTCACATAAAAAATAACATTGATAACACTTCCGAAGAAGGGCTGTGTTGCTACCGATGACCACAGGCGTACAGTACACAGGAGTACAATAATTCTGATACATATTTCTCCTATTTCACCATATTGCAGAGATAATACCAAGTGGGTTGTGATCATGTGTTGTGATTAATGAATGAGACGCACTATGGCATTTTCATATTTACCTGCATTTTGCTCATTAATGATATTTACTATCCTTGTAAGTCTCCATCTTCCAACAGTCGGTCCTAGATGAATGTCTGATATCTGCACAATTCTGAATCCATCAAGAGATTCCGGCAATCCTCTGACTGGGATAAGGACTTCTTTTACAACTGGTGGACTCGCAGCATTATAGAGACCATATGTCCATAAAAGAATAGCATAAATAAGTACAAGCTGTAATTCCCGTTGTTTTGAAAAGACGGGCTTACTACTTGAAATGCTTCTTAAACAGAACAGAATAACCTTGACAAACACTAAACCTGTGACTATTTGAAACAACAGCCCAAGTGCTGCATAACAACTGTATGCTATAAAATATGGTTCTCGACCAATGAAATAAAAATTCGTAAAGTAACTCGCATGACATAAAACTAAGTAAGTCACAAGAATAATTCTCCATAATGTCCACTTTTTAAGATCAGGTTGAGTCACATCTGTCTGATGAAGATCATTATCAGAATATTTGACATGTTTTAACCCTTGCTTCTGTGACGGCTTATCGAACATAGTCGAGAAGTTATTCCACACAAATCCGGAGAAAAGAATCAAGAATGCTTGTAAAAAAATTATGAACTGCAATTTCAACATTCTCGCCTTTGTTTCCCAATGGAGAGAAAAGACATACAACTCGCTCAATATGACGGCAAGCAAAACCGTCACGCCGGCAGCCACTTTTGTTCCCAATGAGACCGCCATGTTGTATATACGGTGTCGCTTGTGAAATACCAAAATAGGTATGATGTTTCTTATATGGTATTTTCATGTCAAATAATAGATGTTTTAAAACGCAAAACTAAAGAATTAGCTAGGTCTATATAAACAGCAAACTCTAATGTCTTATTTACCAAACGTGTAGGATAATGTTGTTGTTAGGGATATCAATTCAAGGGAAATAACACAGTCCAAGTTGTGGCAAATTGCTATGAAATGTATTAATCCTACAAACTAAGTTCGAGGCCAATCTTACCTGATATAGGCCGGCTATTTTTTGTTGTTGCAGATCCAAAACTGTGCAAAATAATTTATCTTACCAGTTAGACAACAACAACAACAACAACAAAAAATCATCATGATAAGATACCTTGGACACACTCGCCACCAGTTATATTTGGAAGTTATATGTCACTATCTCCATGTCCGTCACTCATGATTTTGAAATCAACATCCATTAACATTGGCTCTTCTGAAAGTGTGTTTAGCCAAGATCTACATTCAAATTGATGCGGGGCGTTCGGGTAGCCTAGTGGTTAAAGCGTTCGCTAATCACACTTAAGACCCGGGTTCGATTCCCGACATGGGTACAATGTGCGAAGCCCATTTCTGGTGTCCCCCGCCGTGATATTGCTGGAATATTGCTAAAGGCGGCGTAAAACCATACTCACTCACTCACTCAAATTGATGCACTCAATATATTTAACAAAAAAGTCATTCACACTACATGTAAATCACAAGATTGATGCACATGAAAGAAGGAAATGGGAATGCCAAAAGGTTTACCGCATGATAAAAATGTAGGAGTCATATTACAAATCCGCACCATGCTGTGGTCCCATGTACTTGTTTAATTCAGACTAGAGCAAGGAGGAGCTGCGATCCCATAAGCAAGAGATTCTGTCTGAAAGTTTTGTTTGTTTGTTGTAAAACACTGCTCTCAGCAACATTCCAGTTATATGGTTGCAGTAAGTAAAGTAAAGTAAAGTAAAGACCAGACCAGACAATACCGTGATTGATAGTGTGAGTGCCATTGGGATACGATGACACGCAGTCAACCAAGTCTGCGTGCCTAACCAAGCAATCCATTTGCTTGCTTCTTACGACCAGTTTAGGATGCTGGGGACCAATTCTGACCCAGGACCCCCAATGAAAGATGCCATTCTTCACGCAGCAACATAAGTGTAGCCTATTGGATGAGCTGGTAATGTAAATACAAAACAGACAACATGGTTGATTATTGTTTATGTTCATCTGAATTATTTAGTACTAATTATGATTTCAGTGTAGCCACAAGATGTGAGTCGGATCATTTTCCCATTGTGTTTAAGTTTGCTGTTACAGATACAGAGAATGTTATCAGTAACATGAATGCTGATAATGCAGAACCTATTTGTAGATACCGATGGTGTGCTGGTAAGGCTGAAGCGTTTTCTGAGTTACTTCGGGACTCGCTATCATCATATAGTTTTGATGATTTCATGGGTGATATTTCTAGCGGTGTTAATTGTGCAGTTACAAAATTGACATCATTGATCATTACTTGTGCTTCTGTCAGTGATATGAAGGTAATTACAAGTTCAAACATTTGTACATTTTCAGGAGCAAGATGGCATGATAGCGAATGTAAAGAGCTGAAACATGAGAAATATCGTATTCTTAATATGTTTAGAATAACTGGTGATCTGAACTATTTACAACAGTTTAGACAGTTAAGAAATGCGTATCGAAATATGTGTAGACAAAAGAAATTGATTTTTGAAGAGCGATTACTTGAGGATTTAATGTCTCATACTTGTAGTCCTAAGATCTTCTGGAACCAAGTTAAGGGACTTGTAAAAAAAACGCAGTAATGCAACTCAGTTTATAGCTCCATCAGAATGGGTCTCCTACTTTAAAAATATTTTGACTATAACTGATTATGATGTTGATCATGATAATCTTGCTTCCGCTGAGAGTTTTGTTTATGAACACGAGGAATCTAACTGTTTTGTCTGCAATGATGAAGAAATAAATGATATTTTGAATTGTGAAATCACTGAACCAGAAATTTTACATGCTATTAATCATTTGAAAGATGGTAAGGCGGCTGGTCCCGATGGAGTTCTACCAGAAATGATAAAGTGTTGCAAGGGTAATCTTCTTCCTTATCTAGTTATATTATATAACGCTATTTTGCAGAGTGGTAATTTTCCTGAGGATTGGGCTCGAGGTTTACTTACTCCCCTTCATAAGAAAGGCAGCAAATTTGATGTAAACAATTATAGGGGTATTACACTTAGTGATGTATTGGGTAAAATATTTACTTTTATTCTTAATAAACGGCTTACTATGTTTTGTGACATTTACGATAAGATACCAGAGTCTCAGAACAGGTTTTAGGGCTGGATAAAGCACCATTGATAACATATTTGTGTTGCAAAGTCTAATACAGAAATACTTATCTGAAGCTAATGGCAGATTTTACTGTTTATTTGTTGATTTTAGAAAAGCCTTTGATTGTGTAAATAGAAAATTGTTGTGGTATGTCATGTTAAATAAGGGTATACATGGAAAGTTGTATTATGTCATTAAAGATATGTATTTAAAAGTGAAATTGGCTGTAAAGTTATCAAATAGCACAGCAACTTGCTACTTTGAAACGCTAAGTGGTGTACGCCAAGGCTGCACCCTTAGCCCTATATTGTTCTCTTTGCTTATTGTTGAATTAGAATCAATGTTGCAGTCCTCCGACGAGAGGGGAATATTTGTGAGTCAAGAATCTCTAGACATTTTGTTGTTATTATATGCCGATGATTTGTACATAATTGATGATACTGTAGTTGGTCTCCAACGAAAACTTAATATCCTGAAATCTTTCTGTATTAAATGGGGTTTAGAAGTTAACCTTAGTAAGACTGAAATTTTAGTTTTCAGAAATGGTGGAAAACTTAGGAGTACTGAGAAATGTAGGTTTGGAGATGTTAATGTTAATGTATCTACCGATTATAATTATCTTGGTTTGTTATTTTCAAATCGGCTGTGTTGGACGACTGGTATCAACTCTCTTGTTCAGGAGGCAAATAAGGCTATGTTCGTTGTTAAGAAATTACAGCATCGTTTGAAGAACATACCCGTACATATACTTTTTAAAATATTTGACATTCAAACTAAGCCTGTATTATTATACACTTCAGAAATATGGGGCTATTCAAAAATTGCAGCAATTGAAAAAAATCAGATTAAATTCTGTAAATTTACTATTGGAATTGGAAGTCATGTTACAAATGTTGCTGCCCTTGGCGAATGTGGTAGATATGGATTATTTATTGATTATCACAAGAGATGTATTAATATTGGTTGAAATTGTTATCTTTACCCAGTTATAGATACCCTAAGCAATGTTATTTAATGCTGAAATCTTTAGATGAAGTTAATCGCACTACATGGGTAACTTGTGTCAAAAGATTATTATTCAGTTATGGATTTGGCCACGTGTGGATTTCGCAGGAAGTTGGTAATGAGACCCTCTTTATTAATGCATTTATTCAAAGGTTAAAAGACTGTAACCAACAGGACTGGTATTGTAAAGTTTGTGAAATATGAAAATTATCAATGTATAAGGAATATAAGTCATTGCTAACAGCTGAAAAGTATCTCTGTGAAATCACAAGCCGTCATTATAGACGTATGTTTTGTTTGTTAAGAGTTGGCGAGTTACCATTGATGGTAAATTTAGGTAGAAGATGCGGTATAGAGTACTGTAATAGGCAGTGCAGATTTTGTAATTTACAGGAAATTGAAGATGAGTTCCATTTTATGCTTGTCTGCCCATGTTACAGATATTTAAGAAATACGTATTTACCTATATATTACTCTTCCAATCCTTCTTTATTTAAATATAATACACTATTATCTTGTAACCGCACTAGTATTGTAACTAATTGTGTTAAGTAAATACTGGAAGCACTTGTAATCCGAAATACTGTTACTTAATACCCTCTGTCATCTGCCTCATACTGTATTTTTCAATGAGTAATTGTACGTGGGCCTATGGCCTTTATACTGAAATAAAGAATTGAACAGACAACAATGGTTGGTATAACCCAGTAAGACTAGGAACTGCTTTGTAATATATAGTATGCAGATATCGAATAATAGTTGTCATTGTTAATAATTCTAAGAACACTACCTCTATTACATCCTTTGCCATAAATCCTGTATTTTGGCTTTAATCACACAAGCTAAAGTTTTCAGATTTTCAACAGACGTCCTCTTCACTGTCAGTTACACAATTAGTATAGAACTATAGCAACCCAAGCTCTGACGTACGTTATGGCGGGAACCTCACTTCTTTCCAACATCTAGTCACAAGAGGTAGATGAAGTGGGGAGTTGGGTTGGGGTACTTCTGATGTAATAGAGGTAGTATTCTTAGAATTATTAACAATGATAACTATTGTTCGATAATTCTTGCGAATCCACTACCTCTATTACATCCTTTGCCAGAATATACCAGAGGGACCCGGCGGGATCTGCCTCTAGTAACTCCCTGAGTAATTGACAGTAAACCTCTTCTGGAATCTATTAATCACTGATTCTAATTCTGACTCGAGATAATTTCCTCTGAAATTCCTCCTGAGGACTTGAAAATCAGAATGCTTCAAGAATCAGTCAAATACGTGATACCTTCACTAGAATTACCGTTATATTTGCTGATCTTGTTAGTAATAATGATGTCATTTTTGGTCTATTTGTACCAAATGACGTCATTTGTTAAAACTGGGTTTGTGACACTATTTCCGCTGCTGACGTCACTTCCGGTTGTAACGTAACTTCCGGTTTGTCACTTCCCTTTTATTGGATAATGACGTCTCCTACCAAAAGGTAAATGGACCTTGTACTGCTATTCCCGGTGCTGAGGTCACGTCCGGTTATGACGTCACTTCCGGTTCTAACTCTTGTCCTTGTTGGAATGAGGCTTGCAGGTTATTAATAGTCTCCTCGATGGCG